TGGGGGAGGAAGACCACATAGGTAAAGTACCATTCTCCTCACGTCTTGTCAAGAGTAATGCCATGAACATGCCTTATCATTGATCATGTTGACCTTGATCACCTGGCCGAGATGATATTTGCCAGGTTTCTATGCCATAAAGGTACTTTTCCCCCTTTCCATACTGTGCTCTCTTTGGCAGGAAGTTACTGTGGCCAGCCCACACTTCAGGAGTGGGGAGGCATGTTCCACCTCCCTGAGACGGGAGTATCTACATAAATTAGTTGGAATTCTATGCAAGAGATTTCTCCCTATTTGTTTATTTATGTCAGTGTGAACTCAAGGGTATTTATTGTATACTGTGGGTGATAATTCAATACTACATTATTTATTTTGTAGCTCAAGTTGTTCCAGCTTTGGCCATTGGGAGCTCTTTCTGCTGGGCTCCTGTATCCTCTGACATATTACTTCAGGCTGATCATCTTCTAGATTTCCTGCCCTAGTCCTAGAATGAGCCATTTCTCCAAGAAGCCCTGGTTCCTTTTATTGGAGAATAAATAGAAAAACCAAGATCTGGGCACCGAGTGGGTGGTTCTATTTTGCTAGTTGCTTCCTAATGAGATAATATTGACAGCAGGCTCTGCAGTAGAAAACCCAACCCTGCAGCTGCTCCGAGGAACAAATCATGTTCATTGTCAGTAGTTTATTAGGTTTGTGTCCTGGTTTGGAAAAGTCAGCATCATTAGGCTCTGCAAATATTTGAAGAACACAGCATGTTGTGGTCAACTGGGAGGGCAAGTTCTGAGTCAAGACTATGCTGGGTGAACTCATTAGATGACACTTTTCCTGCATATTCTGTGTTAACTTAACTTCTAAAGCTTCTTGTTTTCTGAAACAGACTGGTTAAATTGGGTCTGATTATTATGCTAGGGCTCAGCACTTTTCTTTGGGAAAGTCAGCCTGCAAATAGGTATTGCAGCTCTTAACCAACACTGTACCTCCTTCTACGTTGCATGGATTCCTTTCTGGGCAATGCGAGGAATAGTCACTTTTTTCGGAACTTGCTGCAAGGCAAGGAGTATTTTCATACTGGAAGCATGGCAAAGGCAAAGAATCGAATTCAGAGACTTCAGGGAGAAGAAGAAAGGAAGCTTCCATACTTACAGTATTCCTTCCCTCACGTTCCCTGTGACTGCTCAAGCCCCAGACTAGACTGACAGCTTCCAGTTTCGTTGTTCTAGAAGACCCAGTCTAGGTTCTAGGTGTGTGTGGCTGAAGACTCTGGAGGAGCTCCTCAGTGGCCTGTGGCCTTGCCTGGAGCATTTAGGGTCTGCTTGGCACAGACAGCAGATAGAGAACAGAGTGGTGTAGTGGTACCAAGGCAAACCATACTGTGGAATTCCAGAAATGGAATATTGAGCCTCCCTCCTGGGAAGCTCTAGTAGAGATCCACCGAAACTGAACGTTTCGTTTTCAAGGGACCATAACTGTGTTCACCCACCCCAGTTAATTGATTTGATATCTATGAAATTGTCTCAATGATTTGGGCGGCTCACTATCATTGTGTCCTCAGATTAGACTCCCTCCTCCCGAGGTCACCGATCGTCTCCTCCAAGGCAGGGAAAGCTCTCCAGGTGAACATTATCCACTCGGAGAAGCCTGAGGGAAGAATTACCTGGCTTCGCCAGCTTGCACCATCCTGTCTGACATGCAATTACACTCTCCTCATCCTTGGTTTGTTGTAATTTAAAAGCCATTTTACAGTGTATTTTGCAAAGCACAGAGAGATCGGCAGCATGAGGCATATCTCAACATTCAGATCATCGCTGGCTACACAATAAATAAGCAGGCCAGTGATTCTCCTGGAAGCTTCAGTTTTTAGAGGAATGTGGCCGAGGCATCTCACTCCAGCCATTGAGGAAACACAGCATGACTTACCCTACATAGGTCCGAAGGCCCCAGTCAAGACCAGATTTGGGACAGTGCTTGCTTATCTTCTTTCTTTAGTTTTACTGCTATGGAAAATATTTGGAAGGAGGGATGATCGATCTGTCTGGGAAATGCATTGTGTCCCATTGCCACGCTCAGTACTGTTCTAAAGTCGTAATATGAAATTGCCACCATACCTGGGCTGTAGGCATGAGTGATGCCTCACCATTTCAAACGGGCAGGTTTGCAATGGGAAAAGATGACAGGGCCACTTGTCCAGGCCACTAGCTAATAAAGTCTCTGAGCACCAAGTTGCTAGAGCTAAGGAAATATTTTTCCCTTCATGCCAAAGATGGGATGTGAGTACTGGTGTCAGGTCATTTTTGAAAACCAGTGGGATACTGCTCCCAGAGTCTGAAAAATATATGATAGAATAAAAGCTCCATCACATTTATAAAGTGAAACCTATTTGTAATAGATCCTCCAAGGTATTTTTGAAAATATTTCAACATGACATAGTAAATAGGAGCAGCCAAATTCCATGAAACATAATTGACCCAAAGCCTAAAGGATGGTATATTCTAAAATTTCAGCATTCTGTTTTTACATGACTGTAATTCATTCTGTAATGTATGCACTTTCATTTCAGAGAAGAGTCACTTGCATCTTAAGAGAAGGAGAGAAATATTTGATAAAACTGCATGTTTGTAACATTCTCTTCCAAAGCAGTATCATTATATTTTTAAATTCGGGGTTTTTTAATCAATTACACACGCACAAAGTTTAAAAAGTCAGTTTTCTGAGATTGTTAGCAATAATAGCTGCTCTCCCGACCTGCCCTCTCTCCTTTCCCTGCTCCGGGAGTCCCCTCTTCAACTCGTGATGGATTCTGACTATGGTAACTCTCACAGCTGAGCCCTGATTCCCTTCCTTTCTTAAACAATGTTTCATTTTCCATGGACTTAATCATTGTCTTAATTATAATTTTTTTAGCGTCTGTGTACTTACCACTAATTTTTTCCCACATGTTCCCTCCATTGCGGAAATCCTCTTTCATGTGTTCAAACACGTTAGGTATCCTGTCTGGTTCAGCTTCTCAAAGTATTGTCCTGCAGAGCCTTCAGACCAGCTCCAGTGTGGATCAGCCGACCAGGGGGCCTGTCCTGGCCCTCCCAGGATCTCCCCTTACTCCTATCCCAGGAATTCCCTGTGCATTTTTCTCATGATCGATCCTATATCTTCCTTTCTCTTCCTCTGACTCCCTTGCTTTGGCAGAGTTATACCCACAATGGCATCTTAAAAAGTGTTGAGGCCTTGACCATCTGAAGATGTTTTTTTCTAAACACACTTGATTGACAGTTTGGTTTTGAGTACTAGGATAGGAATCATTTTCCCTCCTAAACTATTGCTCCATGTCATCTCTCAGTGCTGGCTTTCTAGCTGTCTAAAGCTGGGAGCTCTTAGAATCTTGTTTCTGCCCCCAGCATTGTTCAACACCATGCCCATTGGGTCTTTTTTCATCCACTATGCCATGTCCATATGATAGACCATTTCAGTCTTAAAACTCATATCTTTCAGCTCTCAGATTTTCACTGTTCTCTCTTTCTGGAACTCCTATTATTTGAATGTTGGACCTCCTAGACTGGTCCTTTATTTATAGTTTTTAAATCCATTCTCATACACTTCCCATATCTTTGTCTTTCTGCTCCATCTGTGTTGTAGATTTCCTCAACTTTATCTTACTGTTATTTAGTGAAGTTTTCATTTCTGATTTAATCTTTTTAATTCCTAGAAGTACTTTCTTGTCCTTTAAATGTCTTTTTATAACATTTCCCTTCAGTTCTTATTTCATGGATGCGGTATCTTCTGCCATCACTCTGAGAAATCAATGGGAAAAAGTTTTCTCTCTCTCTCTCTCTGCATTGTCTGTGTTTCCTTCAAGCTTTTTCACTCTTTGTTTGTTTTAGCCTCTTCATCTTAAAGGCCTCCCTAAGTCTGGTGATCCCTGGTTGTCTCCTCATTGTTATAGGTGGGGCACTAGAAGTCAGTGGGCAGCTGTGCACACGTGGGTGAGGCTTATCCCTTGGGGGCCTCACTGATGGCTGGTCGGGTTGGGCCACCTCATTAGGATCCTCTAGATTTAGGAATGTTGGGTCTTCTCTCTTGGGCTGGTCAGATTCCTCAGAGACCACTCTGGGTCTCCTGCCTGGTGGGGACTCAACTGGTTTCCTGTGTTCTGGGAGCCGAATAGAGAAAGATGGCTGGGCCCTTAGATATGTCACCCTTCCCTTAATCCCTCTGTTTTCTGTGCAGTAACTCTGCCCTCAACTGTTACCTTATCCAGAGACTAAACTCCCCAGTTCGAGGAGACACAGTCACCTGCTGTGTGAGGAGAACTGTGGACGGATTGCTGACTGGTTAGACTTTCCACCAGCCTGCTTTTGGCCCAGCCTTCACCCCCACCTTCCCTGATCTGTGCAGATGGGAAGGGCAGGAGACGGCTCCACTTTCCCCTGTCCGTTTAAGATTCCATTTTCTTGTATGTTTAGTCAGTTGACCACTTGTTCATCTGCTTTCCAACGTTCCAAATTTTGTGGCTATTGTCTCTAATTCTCTTCACTAGACCTGTAATTAATCTAAGTATTACTATTTCCTTTTTCATGAGATGTGCTGATTCAGTGTGGTTCTGCATACCTCTAATTGCTTTCTGGTCACTTTTTATTATTTGGTTCAAGCTGTAAACATTACATTAAGAAACATGTTCACCCTGAACTGACTGAGCTGTTTAGCAGTCTAGTTAAGCCTTCCATGAGAGCACATTGGTCTGTCTCCCTGGGCCAGTTACCCACTCAGAAGACTGCCACATCTGCCCCACTGCCGGGGTCCCTTTGGGGCACACGTGGCAGATGGGCTGGGGCTGGGCAAGTGAGAGCAGAGCAGGGCGGTGGCAGCTCGAGGACAGGTGTGCCACCACCAGACTGGGCAGGTTTGCCCTCCCTTCTAGCTCCTCGGGGTCACGTAACACCTGACTTTCTCATTTCACTCATTTATGCCTTTTCCTAACAACCTGCCAACGGTCTTTCTCCCCCCAGCTCTGTTTTGTGATGTTCTGGACCCCCAACGTTTCCGAGAAAATCTTGATAGACATCATTGGAGTGGACTTCGCCTTCGCAGAACTCTGTGTCGTCCCCTTGCGTATCTTCTCCTTCTTCCCGGTTCCAGGTAAAGAAAAACAGAATGAAAGAAAAATTCCTGTTGACCCTCACGCCCGATTCAATGTTCTTTCTTTGGAAATGTTTGCAATCATGTCCCAAAGAAAAATGTAAAATTTTCACAGTGGCTTAGAAAGATGCAAAGACTCTATCCAGTTGGTTGTTAAGTTCAAGAAACGAATCAAACAGGCCTGATTTGTTTCTTAAAGGACAGCAGTTGCAAACACAGCAAAAAGAAAGTAGACCCAAGGGAATAGCATGAGAAGTTTTAAGGGGCAATAGGACTGTTCTGTATCCTCATTGGGGTGGTAGTTACACAATCTGTGCCTGTACTAAAACTCTTAGAACTGTACACTCAAAAGTCAATTTTGTGGTATGTTGATTTAAAGTAAATTCAAAGTAAAATGAAAAAAAAAAGAAAGAAAGAAAGTAGACTGCTAAAGCCTTGAGATGTACAAAGGAGAAGGACTGATGGAGAAAAGCAGGGTCCGGGGCAGAGTTGAGGCCGGGTGGCAGATGGCCAGAGAGGAAAATGCCCATCGCCAGAATAGAAGCCAGTTTGAAAATTCCCAAACTGATACAGTAGTATGAGGTAGACCGCACAAGAATGAGGTGGCTGCCAAATAGTTGATCTCTATTTGGTCTTTTCTATAATAAATATATCGCACATATATATGTATATCTGTATATGATGTTTATTTATATAAGTTCATAGTAAGTGCTTGCATGTCTACGTACTGTTTCTAGAAGTAACTCACCAACAGTGGTTGCCTCTGGAAGGCAGGACCAGGGCCTGGGGGTCAGGCCTGGGAGCAGGACCTTTGTACTGGATTCCCTTTGCACCTTTTACATTCTGTACCAAGTGCATGTTGTTGCCTATTCAAAATGTTATTGCCAAAACAATCCACTAAATCATTCAGCTGAGGAGGCAGAATCGACAAAGCCACAATTAGGTTAAGAAATGGGCCGTGGAGCCAACCGAGGCCAGGCCAATGGCGCACCCGCCAGCCCCATGCTGTCTCTGAGTCGGGCCACAGCCACCCCTGCTTTTAGACACCGAGCATTGCTGGAGGCTGGGTCTCTCAGGGGTCCCCTTCCCAGCTGTGGCAGAAATGGAGGAACAGAAGATCACAGCCACAGGGTGGTGTCTGGTCTTTGTCGGGGGGACTCTGGGGGAGCCAAGCTTTGGAAGTGACACCACCTAGGGAAGGCTGCACTTGCTGGAAATTAAGGCACGTGTCGTTCATTCCCGAGACTCGACTCAAGGAGGGGCTGGAGGCCACAGAGGTCTCCAGCTAGGACTAGGATGGGACTCGCCTTTAATCTCCTCTCCACTCCACTTCCTCACCGGTCAGACTAAGGACTTCCAGACAGCCACCGGGCCCCATGTGTCTTTGCAGCCTGCTGGGTTTGGGCCAATCAGATTAGCAACCCCCCTGTGCACCCTCACCCTCGGCCAAACCCAAGCATGTATCTGTGCCTCTTAAATACCATGCTTCAACGCTGGGGCACGCAGCGCACACTGTTAGACCAAGAAGACAGCAGATTCTCCTCCAAATGCACCATGGACAGGAGTTTTTACCCCAGGAGTAAGCACTTCCTCCCCCCCAAAGGCCTTTGCCACATGGGATAAAAGACCAGGCCTCAGGCTTCTTTAAACGCCTTTGGATGTCAGATGGCATCTAAACATTCAGGGCACTTCCTGCTAACAGGGCGTCAGTGCCTCCCAAAAGCAGAGTCACTCAGTAATTCACACGCATCCGTCGAGCCCCTCCTTTGCCCCGCCCTCCTATGGTTCACAAATCAGGATGGGGAGCCGGGGACAGGGAAGGCTTTGAGAGGTCTTTGTGAAATATCCACATATCAACACAGGGGTGGGCACGATGAGGGGAAGGAGAGAGGGAGATGACTGCTGTCCGGGGAGGAAATACAGGAAGTGAAACAAGAGCAGCTCCCTTTTCTTCACTGACGCCTCGAGTCTCCTTGCCTCCCCCAGGCTGTCGGTGGGAAAGACCTGGCTTCCGGTCCAGCTTTTCTCCTCACCCAGAATCAACCTTGATCGCCTTTCTCTGAGTTTTCTCTTCTAGGAGGAATGATAGACCTTGAGGCTGGGGGTGGAGGTGGTGGGAGTGGACAGGAGTGTCCCAGGAGCAAGCCAGGGCCACCTGGGAGATGGCAGTCACCCTGGGAGATGGCAGTCAGAGTGGAGAAAGGAAGCTGCCACAAGCTGCCATCTAGATGCTAAGGGCTGTGATGAGGCAGGAGCTGAGGTGGGGACAGGTCCAGAAGCAGGGACCAGGCGCCCTGGCAGGAAGATAAGGTGACAAGCCCAGAGCAGCAGCAGCAAGGCCTGGGTCCCAGCCGGCTGCCCCTCTGATGTGCTGCCCAGGGCCCCAGGGGCTGCAGGATGGGGAGAAGCAGGACGTTGCTGATAAGCCCTTTGCTCTCCCCTCAGTCACCGTGAGGGCCCATCTCACTGGGTGGCTGATGACCCTGAAGAAGACCTTTGTCCTGGCCCCCAGCTCTGTGCTGCGCATCATCGTCCTCATCACCAGCCTCGTGGTCCTGCCCTACCTGGGGTATGTCATCGGGGGGTTTGGGGCTGTGGGTCCTTCTGACACCTGAGTACTCTGTCCAAAAGTTTAAATCTGCTTCTTCCTGTGAGATCCTCGAGCATATCTAGAATTAGAAATGCAGAATGATGTCTTGCTTCTCTGCCTGGGCACGCACTAGGTGGGAGGCTGTTGAGACCCATTCTAGAAGAGTACTTTCAAGGTCATGCCCATACACGATATTCACTGAGCACCTTCTAGGCCTGGCAGGTATGGGAAGGTGAAAACTAAAAGGGAGAAAGGGTGTTGCCCTTGTCCTCAGGAGCTCCTAGTCTCCTGGGAGCTGAGCTGAGACCTGGGGGTGCATGGGAGACACTCGGCTCAGAGTCCAGGCCCCCTCCCCACACAGGTGGACCATTTATTAGGTGCAGCCTTTACCAGTAGATCTCGAATGAGATTGTCTGGTCCCTTTGTTGTCTGCACCTTTCCTGGGTTTTGGCTGGGTTTTGACTCTATTTGTGACTTTAACAGACAAATGGCCTTTGCATTCTCATCCCCAGGGTACATGGAGCCACCCTGGGCGTGGGCTCCCTCCTCGCAGGGTTTGTGGGAGAATCTACCATGGTCGCCATAGCAGCGTGCTACGTCTATCGGAAGCAGGTGAGACGTGGCAACAGAACCGCACACCTGCCATGGCTGCAAAGCCCCTTCCCAGGTGTGGGAAAACCTGAGTGGCTCCCTAAGGGGCCCCAGCAGGGGGCGGTGGTGGTGACACCTCACATTCATCCCGTCCTTCAGCTGGACCCACACTGCTCACCATGACTCCACAGCCCCTTCTGTGCATGAGCAACCCTCACAGCCAGAGTTGCTCAGCCCTCACTCAGTCAGGTTAATACCAAGGGGATCCCTTATTATGTTATCATGTAGGTTATTCCTTACACTCTGCCTTGCTTCCAAAGGCAGTCGTATTTCTCAGGGGAGACAAGTGAAAGGATACATGTCTACAGTCCTGCCTGCTACTGTTGCCTCTAGAGAATTAAAAAATGGAGAAACTAAATAATAGTTTTGACCATGTGAGAAAACCCTATAAAGGTGATTCTCCCTGCAACTAAATTCTTCCCCTCAGTCCTTAAAAACTCAGACTTTATCACTAACAGGTAACCAATCTAGAAAATGCTGGGTGATCAGGACACCCTCTCTCCATTCTTTGCCTCTGCAAATGCTGTCCCCCTTCTGCCCCAGGTGCCACCCCACTCCAGGAAGCCTTTCCTAACCCCCCACCACACACACACAGTATTTACATACCCCATACCAGTTAGCATGTAATTAGTTTATCCTGCAGGGTTATCTCATTATTGGGGACTATATTTATTTTCTTTCTGAGATTAGGAATACTCAGGGAGCAGGAGATGCATCTGACATTGTTCATCAGCAGAGGAGGAGTGAGATTAACCAGACAGTGGGTGGGATAGAGAAGAAAAGGGGTCCAAGGATGGATCTCTGGGGTGCACCACTGTGGGCTCCCCGACCTGTGGCGGCCGGGGTGAAGGGGGTGCACACTGAAGTGGGTGGATTTGGACCTAACCAAGGTCAGGGTTTTGCCTGGCAAATATGATTTAAAAAAAGAGGGGCAAGGAAGGGGTTATAATTATTGAGCCTTTCATTTAAGGTGATGAAAGAGGGGTGGGGGACCAGACGGTCCATGCATTGTGGGGACAGAGTCCTCGAGGGAGGGGCCAGATGGCGGCGGTGGGAGGTGGAGGATGGTATCCCTGAAGCGGGCCTGTCCGTGGTGCTGAGGTGTTGATACTGACAAGGTCTCCAGGGAGCCCATGAGCAGCGGGGGTGGCGCTGGAGAACCTGATTCCCAAAGGAGAAGAAGTCAAGGCATGGAGAGGCCAGTTATTGCAAGGCAGGCAACATGGCAGTGCAGTCACGAGGAATTAGGACAGGCGACAAGCAGGGAGGTGGTGGGGGATGACAGCAAACCTGGGGCTGGACCAGAGGAGAGGAATACTCGAAGACATGAGATCCCAAGGAATGCGCATGGCCTGAGGAGGTGGGTGGGGAGTGGTGGGGAGAGCACAGCCACTGCTGGAAGGGGCTGTAGGGAAGTGGTGTCCTCGGGCAGGAGCAGGTTTCCATCAGCCCACCATGCCTTCCAGAGGCCCGGGGAGGGTTGTCCGGGCAGGAGACGGGATCCCCCAAAGTGCCTAGCACAATGCGAGGCACAGGGCTGGCGCCCGAGTAACAAACTGAAGGGAATCTGCTGAACAAACTGAAGGGAATGCAGCCTCAGTGGGGTCCCCCCAACCATAAACAAGACCCAAGTCTGCAGGGGTCCCCTGAGACCCTCGGGACCTCTCCCTGCTCTTGGCTCCAGCTGTGCTGTGTCTCTGTCACAGCCCCATGCTGATGAGTCTTCTTTGGTCTAGAAAAAGAAGATGGAGAACGAGACAGCCGCTGAGGGGGAAGACTCGGCGATGACGGACATACCTCCAGCAGAGGAGGGGACAGACATCGTGGAAATGAGAGAGGAGAACGAATAAGGCACGGGACGCCTGGGCTCTGCAGGGACATTGAGATGGCACTTCAGCAGCATCTCCTGTCCCGTCGTGTTTTGTTCCGTTTTTGGTTTCGTTTTGGTTTTGGTAATGAAAGAGGCCTTGATCTAAAGGTTTCAGGTAAACTCTCTGGCATACTGGGTATGCTCACACTGACGTGGAGACCTAAAAAATGGTCTTTGCCATTGCTTTGTAAAAACAAACAAAACAATTGACTTCATGCCCCCCGCTTCATGAAATCCCAAAAGACATCGCTGCCTCGTAGTCCAGGTTGTCTCCTCCTCCCTCGGACAATCTCCACTTGGAACCAAAGGACTAGGCTGTGCTGTCCATCGCCCCTCGGCCACCACTGCCCAGCAGGCCACAGACTTTACCCGGTCCCTTTGCGTCTCTTAAGAATCAACTCAGCTTTCTTTGATCAGCTTCCCGGTGACATGACTGTACAAAGAGATGTAACCCTGGTGGCCTTCCACCCTGGAGTCATAAACTGTCTCCTACCCACGTGTAGTGGGTCAGCGACAGGCTGCAGCCCGAAGTGGCCGTTCACACTGAGGAACGGATTTGTGAACGCGCTGGACAGGTGGATGGAAAGAATCTCCTGTAGGAAGGTTTTGAGATGCCATGGGAGTAGCTCACAGACACGATCGAACGCTAGCATTTCATCTCGCCTCCCGTTTTCCTAGATTTGAGCGAGCGCTCACTTTCCATGCCCTGCTGTATACATACTCGAGCTAACTTTTTAAAGTTGTCGCAAAAGCGCATCTCCAAACCTCAGCATCCTTCGGCATGACTTCCCCTGAAGGCTTGTTCTTCACTCACCTTTCCTGAAGATGGCACTAGAGCAAGTGAAATGGAGCATTCTAACTTTACATTTTAGTTTTTAAAGTGAACTGAAGCTTTAAGTCATAATCTAGCATTCTAACGCCAGGTCGCCGTATCGTAACTTTTGAAGTAGATTTATCACCTGGTCTGCCGTTCTTAGTCATAACCATGCGGTACAGGTAATCCAGAGTGTACTTCGGTACTCCCCTCTCATGCCACACGACAAAGCAAGACATTTTATAAACGAGAGCAAAGTCACTATGTGATATTCCCTGAAATGACACATTTGAAATCCATTTAGTGCAGTATATTTTTCTAAGTTTTGGAAAGCGGGTTTTTTCTTTAAAAAATTATGGACACGGTTCACTAAATTCTTGATTTAGTAAAAATCCTAGACTGAAAGAACCTAAAAACAAAAATATTTTAAAGATATAAATATGTACTGTATATGTTATGTAATTTATTTTAGGCTATAATACATTTCCTATTTTTCGCATTTTCAATAAAATGTCTCTAATACAATACAGGGATTGCTCGTGTGCTCATCCTACCTGCGGTTGAAAGGTTGAAACATATTGTACCGATGAACATTGTATCTTATTTGCAGGCCATTCTACAGTCTGTCGTTTGTATATAAATGTAAGGATCAGTAAATGACGAGAGAACTATTTTTCATTATGGGTAATGGGTATAAATGGGTCAGCCGCTGCGGACAATAGTAAGAATGGAACTATATGCTGGAAGGGCAAAAAAAGAAAGAAAAAGGCAAGTTTTTATGTTTATTGTTTTCAGTGCTGTGTCATCATATTGCTCCTCATAGAAAAAGACTGTAAGGGCAGAAAGTCAGCCATGAACATCACGAGGTTGCATTCACATTTCTGGACACCCAGGGACCCTTGGGTGTGCCCACCATGGGGACAGATCCCCCCGTGTTTCCTCTGAGCATTTTCTCCTCCAAATATATGAGTGCTGAAAATTAAGATGCATAGTTTTGAGGTGGTTTCAGGGGCAGATCTGAGAAGATGGGGGAAAAAATCTAATTGTATCAGCTTTTTTAAAGTACGTGATTAGAAAATTAAACAACAGCAGTATTTTTTAACACGTGTGACTATTTCATACTTGCGGGGCTGGAGCTTAAAGAGCAAATTGAAAAAGGCAATTGTTATCCCTCTAAATCAGGGCAAGGCCAACTAGACTCTTCATTATGCAACTAGAATATGTCATTATAACTTCAGAGACACCGTCGGTGTTAAAGATTCACGGGCCACAGTATTTCCTGAGAGTTTCAGAGAACGCAGACCCAGACCACAGTGGAGCTGGGATTGTGCAGGACATGTCCAGAATCCAGAACTTTCCTTGAAGCACACCATCCCTCACACAGTTCCTTCACCTGGGCTGCTTAAGTCACGGCCTAACAAACACACCTTAACATCTAAAGGAAAACCTGTCACTGGCAGAGTCTCCTGCATCTGTTCTAACCAACACGGCTGGGAAAGGATGCTAAAAGCGGGGGGGGGGGGGGGGGGAGGACCCTCCTCCTTCCCACTTTTCAGAGTAAGGAGGGGCGCTCCTTTGACTTTGCCAACCAAAGAAACGTTCCCCCCAACACAGGTTTCTTTTTTATTGCAAGTCGCTCAGCTGGTAGATATATTTAGAAGGGCACCGTGCCTGCGAGAGTCTCATGTCAAGGACCATGAAAAGCTCAGACGTGACTTTCCCAATGTGGAGTGATTGCTTGTAGACAAACAGAATCTGAAACTCCAGGGGCAGAAAGATGATTTTAATTTAAATGCTGAGAAGTGGGTTTGGGCAGCTCAAAGCAGTCTTTCTATGTTGAGGGTTTTCTCTGCGCAAGCCCAGCTCAGAGCTCCTTCTGTGGCCTCTGCTTTTTAGAGGGGCATGTGCAAGGTCATTCTAAACGTGCAGCTGCCGTGTGCTCTGCCTCCAATTAGTGGGATCTCCGTGGTGCTGGGCATCAGCGAGATACCCAAGAATTGAGGAGAAAGAACCAGGCAAGGCTTGCTCCGGAAAAATCATGCTAGGGATGGATCTGCCGGCCACGGGGCTCAGGGCGTGTGCAAGAGGTTGGCATGTCGGCCGCAACCCCTCACCTGTTTGGGATTCTTTAATTTAGACACAGAAGGCCGCTGGTTTACATCACTGGGTGGAAGCCAGGCACGTCCCCTTGCCACCTGCCTTGAGCATGTCTTGTCCCAAAAGTCCTCTTCTCTGTCTCGTGTTTGTGTCTGTGTTCTGTGTTTTAGCACTAGCTGGTGGGTTCCATGGATGGCCAGTACACTGAGAAATGGAAACTTGTAGTGTTGGTTTAGGATATATTGGATGGGGCCAAGTAGGCTTCGTTATGGTAGTAAATGCATTTCATTTTTCACTCTTTGCGTCCTCCCAATAAATAAGCTTGGGAGGGGCAAAGGGTGGGAGGTCCAGGAGGCCGGAGGCCCTGGGGCTCCACCCTAGACCAGCTCCATCAAGCTGGGCTGAGTTTCCAGACTCCAGGGCACGTCCCAACCAGGGGCCAGCTCTGTGGTCCTCATAAGCAGCCTTTTTGGGCTCTCTCTTGGGGTTGGGATAATCACATCTCCCAAATAACAGAAAAGTTATTCAATGATACATTGAGAGTAAGAAGTGAAAAAAGTCCATAGCTCCCTACGCTCTTAATTGTTCGTCCTTTGGGGGTCTTTTCTTCTGGAAGGAAGGGGCAGGGAGAGAGCAACTTTCTTCGTACCCTTAGTTTCTAGAAACACCTCAATTTAAAGACTGGATTTTTTTTTTTTCAAACTGGAGTGGGAGGGAGAGTGAGAGCGTGTGTTGCAAAATAGGAAGTATTTATATTGTTGTAATTAAAATGCATTCCCTTGAGAAATATTTTCTTGTATTTAAGAATCTTTTTACTTCTGGAAATCTCTAAGCAGACCAGTGCCCAGGACAGCACATGCACCGAGCAGCCAGGGTTTCTGGCCTCTTACTTTGCAGGTGAGCTGACCTCTGAACTTGGACGACTCTTCATCAGTCAAGCAATGCGCAGTCCAGGAAACGGGGCCTTTTATGTTCCAAGTCCTGCAATGAGCAGGGCTTTATAAGACGTGGCAATTTGTAGTGTTGAGCCCTCCATGTTAGACCTGCAGCCGCTTCCTGAAACCAGCCGCCCCGCCCCCTCTCTGGACAGCCACCCTCTCACACGGCCCTCACACAGCTCTTTCATAAAAAGCATTTGAACCATAGGAAATCGTGTTTTTGAGCAACATGTTTGGTAAACATTCGAGATGCTCCTCTGTGTGGTTATTTTGAGTCTCTATTTCTGTCATTTGAAGCAGCAAAACATCACATGACTCATCAGCTGATCTAACCACACATAAAACAGGATGTAGAGAGAATCAGACGGACGGAAAGGCCCTCCTCCCTGCCCTTTTAAAGGCTAAATGTCTAAAACTAACTACACAAATGTTCAAAATGATAGACATTGTATTGTGTCATCAAAATAACCCAAACCCCGCTCAGGGAGTCAGAAAAAGTATAACAAATTATAGAGATTACTGTCTGATCTCAAAAGGGAAAAATAATGAAAAGGAGATGGTGAGACCTTGATTTAAGACTTCATTTTCTTCTCAAGAGGGGAGGTTAGAACTATTAACTGCTGCAGCCTCTGCAAAGAAGAGAACCAAAGGTGGGCTTCCTAAGTCATTATTGTTTTTAATCATCTTTGCCAAGTCCAAGTGGTTCCAGAAGAATTTTTTTTCTCTGCTTCATCTGCAGTCAACCAGGGTCTCTAAATAGGCTGCCTAAGATATATGCACTTTTATAATAAGACGGCTGTCGGCTACACCCAGATTCAGCACACAGTGTCTTATATGGTCTGTCTGTTTACGTTAGGTTATGTAACCAAGTGCACTTTACTAACAAGACAACATCGGCTTCTACAATCTGTATACATAAACAAAAGCGCACAAGAGCCGGGAACCCTTTCTCTCTCCAGACGTCTCAGTGAAGTTTCCTTAGGTTAAAGAAGCGGGGAGGTGAAGAGAGACCAGCTAACAATGGTTGGACTGTTTGCCCTATGGCTTCATGGAAATTCAGCCACATACGGAGATTGGTTGTTACTCTAAGATTTAGAGGCAGATGTTCTCCAACTATGAACCAGGGACAAGAAATGGTGCCTTTGGAGTGGGAAAGATTATGGCCAGGAGGACTCTGGTTCCCTGGAGCGTGGGGCTGTGAACATGGGGGACCCACAGTTTGGATGAACCTGCTACTGAAGGTGACACTCAAACCATGCTGGTCAAAGGAGGGACAAGGTACACATCAACATCAGTCACTCAGCACCCACAGCATGGACTGTCACCAGCAAGCAGGACTATACCCCTAGGGGTGCCACATCCACAAGGCTTGTGGGGGCAAATACACAGCTCCTTGGGTCTATGATAGGTTTGGTTTGTTTAGTGATGTATTGAGAGGGCAAATATCTAAAGCTGGAATGACCAAGGAGCTAGTACAGAGCTTCAGAAATCCTGACAGAGCTGCGCAGAGATGCTGTTCAACACCGACAAGCCTACACTCATTCAGTTAAGGAGAGCTTCTGTGCTGGAGGTGGTGGGCCCACAGCACGACCTCCCGTGTCACTCTCACGTCCCCGGCCTCACGTGTACAATGAAAGGCTTAGGCCCTTATTGCCAAGGCTCCTTCCTGGCCCTACATTCTACGTATGATCTGGGATTTAGAACACAGTACAGGCTCCTGCAATGGAAATATAAAATTACCTCATTCTTCATTTCAGATCCGAACATTAGCAGTGATCCAGAATTTTTTTTTCCAACAAAATTAAGTCTACTGGGAGTCATTATTCTACAAGTGCTGTGGCTGTCAGTTTACAGGCTTTTTAGTCTCACATCAAAACTATGGGTTTAATTTAAACTGTTGAAACCAGTCACTTTAAAATATTTGTGCACCTTTGATTAAAACTGACTGCAGAGGTCAATAGAAAATATATGTTGCATTTAAACAAGTGCTGTGTATGTATTTCATAGATGTTAAGTTTTTGCATTGTTAAGAGCATTTATATATGTTTTTCTTTTTTGTTTCTTTAGGGGGGATTTGTGCTCCTATATTGTCAAATGGCTTTCACATGCTAGTTTTACTTTAAGTAAAGCTTAAAGAGTTGGCATACGATTGAGATTGCTTTTAGCTTCTTGATTTTCTTCTTCTAAACATTAGTCTGTTTACACCTCCCAAATTATGTGATTTCCTAATTCTGACTACAATTTCCCTTTTTTTGTCAAACGTACGAGACATTAAATTTCGCCCTTTGCCTTGGTAGCAAAAACCTCTCATTACTGGGCTATATCTCTAAACTCCCTGTCTTATTTAAATATGACCTATTTCTTCAAACTTTCTGTAGTAAAATGAATTTTTACTTCCCGTAACTACAGTAATATTGAAAGTACTTCTCTGAAGCGGAACTTCTCTATGGCCCTTCTAGAATGGGGATACCGAACTTAGACAGGCGTTAGGAAAGTGAGAGCAGCAGAACCTGAAAACCCCTCCTGCCCACATCTAAGAGATTCTTGTTCTTATCGGTCTTTTTGTGAAAAGCATTACTCTCCTTTAAAACGTAACGTCTTCACCTCAAAGAACGATAGCTCTCGTTTTCTTTAACCTCCTTTGAGAGATTATATGGAGAAAGTGTTTCATGACAAACCTGTAATCAACAAGGGTGTAAGCATTTGACAGACTTGCTTGGGATCGCCTGTTTTCTTCTTTACTGCTTTACTACATGTCTTTGAGCTGAAATCCCAGATCTCAGCGCCACCTCGACCATGCTTCCCTTTTCCTGCCTCGAATAGTACCACGTTTTTGAAGTCTCAGAGGTCATCTTTCCACCCACAACACCTGAGACATGGCATGTCTTGCTGCCTGGTGATAATGTCAGGATGTGGAGCTGTGCTGGCCCAAGCTCCATTAGTGCTCCCCATGGGGAGCAGTCCTACCACGGGGGGACAGATCTGCACCCGGTCATGCTTCCTCCTGACATCCCAGATGAATCACTTTATCATCCACCCAGAAACTTACTGCGTGGCACCGCCATCCCCCGCCGCTGGGGTCCCTCTAACCCCCATCGGTTCTCCCTCCTAGTGTCTCTCACATCCCTGCCTCCCTCTGCATCCATCTGCTCAGATGCTCCTGTCACCTAGGACTGGATGCTACAGAAGCCTCCAACACGTTTTCCCTTCCCCAGGCTCGTGTGTTCCTCTGGACTATGATGTAAATGACACCTCCTAGAGTCTTGAAGGGCACAATCTGTACAACCATTTCTGGCAGCCTGCCCACCTCCCCCTGCCCCACTCCACCCCACCCCACCCACTGCAGAGGACTTTAGTGTGCACACTTGTCTTCACTTATGAGGGCTGAGGACTTCCAATCAAGAGGATGTTAAAGTCAACTGTGAGCTGGTTCCTGGTTTTGAAACATCTGCCTCTATGTCTTTGCCTATCTATAAATTGTCCCAAACCACCCACTCACACCCCCGAGACAATGGGAGTAAACTTCCAAAAGTTTATCGTGTGAGCGGTAGTTTAGGTACAGTCTTGGATAACTGGTTTTTAGGTTAATATCATGGAGAAAACTACGCTCTCTCTTCTGAGTTTTCTTTCTCAACACTATTGAAGACAACCCTGGGGTGGAGGGAAGGTTGGCATTGCTTATATTTCTAATTCTGTCCCCAAGAAGCTCCAGTTTTCTTACCTGGACAACGCAAGCCAGTAAATACCATGTTAATTTCACAGTTCAATACACTAGTCTTTGCACAAAAGGGAAAAAAGAAAAACAGGAGCGGTGAGTCCTCATTCTGTCTCTGCTGCTGATTAGCTGTGAGCCAGGCAAGTTATGGATTCCTCTGGATCAGCTTCCTCTGCTCGAGATCTTCTCTAGTTCTAATCTACTGCGACATCAGGATTTCCAGTCATCGACGGCAGTGCGTGAAGATGGAGGTGCATGTCTGCTAGGCTCAGCCAACAAATCTGTGACCATTACAAGACTAGATAAAGGCTAGTCTTATCTTAGGTTCAGAATTCTTGAATCCAAAGACCAAAATAGCATGAACAAATACAATAACTATCAAACCTTACATTACACCACACACCTAAAGTTCTTTCATCTGATTCATGTAAAAAGCTCTCTTGCTATGAAGGCAAGTGGCCGAGGAAACCTGGTTGTGCCAGCTCCCCCAGCCCCGGGCCTTGCTGCTGTGAGGACAGATGCTTGCAAGTTCATGCATGACAGGGTCAAAAAGCTATTTCTTGGGGCCGGCCCGGTGGCACAGTGGTTAAGTTCACTTGCTCTGCTTCGGCAGCCCAGAGTTCACGGGTTCAGATCCCAGGTGTGGACCTACACATTGTTCATCAAGCCATGCTGTGGCAGCATCCCACATACAAAATAGAGGAAGACTGGCACAGATGTTAGCTCAGCGACAATCTTCCTCGAGCAAAAAGAGGAAGATTGGCAACAGATGTTAGCTCAGTGACAATCTTCCCCACCAAAAAAACAAAAAGCACTGTCTCCCCACACTTGGCAGCACCACGTCCTAACTCAGCTCCATTCTTCACCTTTCCCCCAAATGCTGCCACCACCCAGATTTCAGCATCCTTCCTCACCCTACAACTGTGTTGCTCAATGCTATTTAATTCCACTTTCTTTGGAAAAGAATAAAAATGGCTCCCACACCCTAGGCCTGATCCTAACTTTGGAATCCAGTTCTACATGCTCCCCAGTGATCCAATCTGGGCCTGTTTCCAATTCCAAACACACAGTGGCGATCCCCGGGGCTGCTTTTCCAGCCATGACTTGTTCCAGAGCTTCAGATCAGTCACCTCCAAACACGCCCTCAGAGGGGCCCCAGAGGGGCCTTGGCCTTAAGGCCCATCCTGCACACTTCTTCCCTACTCCCTCCCATGCTTTCTCCTGAGGGGAAGAATCACATTATCACCCACCCAGAAACCTACTCCATGTCCCGCCTCTCCCTCAATCAAGTCACTAACCCAAGTCACTAACCCTCCTAGTATCTCTCACTTCTGTCCCTTCCTCTGCATCCTCTTTAGTCCCACTGGCTCACCTCAGGTGCTCCTGATCACCTAGAGCCTGCATGTTACAGAAGCCTCCAAAATGGCTTTCCTTCTCCAAGCTCCTGTGTGCCCCCTGGACTACGATGTGCATGACATCTAGAGTTTTGCAGGGCACAATCTGCACAACCATTCCCAGCAGCCTGACCACCTCCTCCCCACCCTACCTCACCCTGCTTTTCCAGGCTGGCCCTTCCTCTCATCTAGTTGTTGGGTTGCTGCAAGGAGGAGCCTACACTTACTTGGGTGTGCACCAGGCTGAGCCTGGGCTACATGTAGTAAACAAGGGCCCAGCCAGAAAGAGGATGCTAACACCCAAAGAGAAGTAACAACAAAAAATGGGGATTCCTAATGATGCCCCAGCCTCCTGCTCCAGGTGTCTTAACACCTGGTCCCATTCAGAAACTTGTTGTTACCCCTTTCGTCCCTCACCCACCAGCAGGGCATAAAAGGACCAAGAGTAGATATTTTAAAAAGAGTATCTGTAGAGATGGTTTCTTTGCAGAGATCTACACTGAGCCCCTGTCGTCCTCAGGGGTGTGTGCACATGTGTGTGGGTCCCTCGACACCTTAAGCCTAGTGGTAGTGCTCTTCAGGAGACACTTAGAGCTTGAAATGGGCCTTTGCAGTGGTGGGGACTCGGTGGATGGCTGTCAAATCTGACAGGAGAGAGAGCCGCAGGACGGGGAGACGGGCTGGCTGGCACAGGCCAAGTTTGGCTGGGCAGAAGGTGCACAGGTCTCTCCTGTGGACCAGACCTGGGCCACACAGACCAACAAACTGACCAAGGAGTCCTCTTAGGTCCTGAGGGGTAAACAGGGCTTAGAAGAAATAAGCCGGAGGTAACTGGATTTCCAGGAGCTGCAAAGGAGGAAGGGAGGGTCAGAGGACAGAGCGTTAGGCACATCAAGGAAACTGCCAATGGGAGGCCCTGAGCCGGGGGCAGGAGCCGGGGGGCATGGGGGTCTCCAAAGATCCTTGCAAGTAACCCACACAAGGAGAGAATGAGAAGTCCTGGCCAGGCCAGGGAGTGAGGCCAGGTTAGGACAGCCTCTCCAGGGGAGATCTGTGCTCCCTCCGCCCTCCCTCCCTTCCTCCTTCCCCGGCAACAACTAGGGCCAGATGGGGCAGCTGGCGATTAATCATAGCTTCGATTCTTACACAAGATGGGATATTCCGATTTCCAAATTGGAATAGCATCTGGCAAGTTCAAATGACTGTAAGTTCTCTTTACTATCCAAGGGTGCTCAGAAAAGTCATGGGACGCCCTGAGTTGAGTTTTCATCCAGAGGCAGGGGAGGAACTCCTCCCATTGACTATATCTTCAACAGGGGAAGACAAAGCTGCTTTGTGATTCTAGCCCTGAAGTCATGCCAGTTCAGCTCATCTGTGACACATGCAAGTGACCTCTGTGAAGGCTGGGGAGAGTTGGAGAGAGCCTGGGAGGGACAGGGAGGGACAGAGAGGAGAGGCTAGACCAGCTCATCCTTGCATCCACAAGTGTAGAACTGGGTGTGCCCAGAGCAGGCACTCTTCGGTGAATGAATGGAACATTCACACCTTCCCCCATGAACACGCTCTGAGCCTAGGTCACCTGCACAATGGCCCTCCTTCCTGCAGCCTTCTCATCTCACCCCCTCTTTATTTTTAAGGTGTGCTTTGTTTGTGAGGAACATTGGCCCTGAGCTAACATCTGTTGCCAATCTTCCTTTTTTTTTTTCTCCCCAAAGCCCCCCAGTTCAGTTGTATATCCTAGCTGCAAGTCATTCCAGTTCTTCTATGTGGGATGCCACCACAGCATGGCTTGATGAGCAGTGTGTAGGTCCAAGCCCAGGATCTGAACCGGCAAACTCCAGGCCACCAAAGTGGCTGGGCAGAAGGTGCACTTAACCACTTAACCACTAGGCTTTGGGGCCGACCCATCACCCCTTTTTCATCACGGAAGGTCAAGATCTCCACAAACTAAGATAACCTGAGCCAGTTCTTGTCACTTGCAACCAAAAGTGTGTGACACGCATCTGACAGCCCCTCTGTCGGCCTTCCCTTCTCGATGTTCCCATCCCTAAATCGCCTTGTGAAATCCACAGAGGAACCAAGAGTATTCTGACACTCGACAGTCTAGTTAGAAACTGTAACAGATGGGCAAGAGACAACAGCAGATGGCTCCCAGAAAATGACCCTTGACTGACTGCTACAAAGGAAGTAGCCCTGCTCAAGGAAAGGAATGGAAATTGAAAGTCCAACTATCAACTCAGCAAAGATCAAAAAGTTTGATAGAGCTCAGTGATGGCAAAGGCCTGAGGAAAGGGTACTCCTGCTCTCCGGGGGGAATGTCAACCAAAGGGACCTCTTCAGAGGACAATTTGACAAGACGTTTCAAGCACACACTCAACTAGGCAAAGAGACTGATGTCATGGGCAAAAGAACAGGAAAAAGCAACACAGGAAAGAAATACAAGCAACCGATAAATACCTAGGAGAAATGTTCACCATTACTAGAATCAAAAGTCAGTTAAAACTGGATGTCTTTCTCTCGTTCCATGTTTTATTCTTTCCAAATTAAATTACCCCCAGTGTCACCTAGGGGACAATGAAGCAGGCACTCCAGTACGTTGGTGAAAATGAAACTTCTGCAACTTTTTTGGAGAGTAGTTTGCAAATATGTTTCAAGAGACTTAAAATGTTCAATTTAGAGATGTGTAAAAAGATTCATGAAGAAGGCAGCTCATTATAGCATCACTTATAATTGTGAGAATTGGAAATACTCAATGGTGTGAATTAGACAAGGGTTTTACAGACTTTTTTGAAACCTTCTATCATAGTTCGTCACCACCTAACACAATTAGGATGTGATCTCCGCATCCATAAACCAACCACTGTAGTGTGTTTGCTTTTGATTTTCTCAGCATTCTCTCCGATATTTTGAACAGCACAGCATAGATATCATGACAGCATTTTATCTGCCATAAACTGCATTCTAGTCTTCATTTGGGGAGATGGAGCTGGAGGAGTATGTGGAAGGCACCTTCGTAGGCTGTAATAAATATTCTACAGCATAGCAGTGAACGCAAAGTGGCAGCACCACTGTCACCAAACCTCTCAGCCGTCTTGTGAGGGCAGAAGGCTGGGCTACAGGCTCGTGGAGGGAGGGGCAGGAAAATCTCACTTGGCTCCTGGGAGCTGAGGGGTAGGGCGTCACCCAGGGCTTTTCCACCCAAGGGCCAAACCTGGTCTACCTCTCTGGGGCTGTGCTGGGGGCCAGAGTCTGGAATCAACCCTCTAGACCCAGAAAGTCATGACCAGGCCACTCGCAATGAGCCAGACTAGAGGTGAGGGTAGGAGTGGGGACGAGAGACAAACGATTTAGAGAACCTGCAGAAAGAATGCCCAGAAGGTTTCAAGCAAGACAGAGATGGTGAGTGGGAATGTACTATATGAATACACTCTCATTTTACAACACATAACGCGGTGGCATTTTCTTGATCATTTGATGGTTGTAAAAAATATCCCTAAGGGCTTCTCTAGGACCCACAGCCTGGGTCCCTGTTTTCCTCTACAATTCCTAAGGTAGGGGAAGCCATGGAGAAATGCCAGAAACACTGCCCTTGGACACAAGGAGGGCACCACAACCCAGCTGAATGGGGCAATGGAGGAGGAAGTCTGTTGTTGCTGTTTATCACAGGAAGGTCTTCCTGACGCCCATTACCAACCTGGCACTGCTCTCTGGTGGATGCCCAACTTCTAACCAATGGGCTTCAGAAGCCCAGCAGCATTTTAGAAAGACGCCCAGACTCAGTTCTTCAAGGTAGGTCTCTCCTGGCTCAAACTTCATTCTCCATCCCTAAGAATACCTTTGAGAACCCACTGTCTTCCCCTATCTTCGAATTATTAACTTCCTTCAGTGGTGGTCTCACTCAGAGGCAGTACACTCACGTTCCTGCTATCACACTTCGGGGAGCATTTCCAACGCTCTGAATGGCTGGTGAACACCTAAGAACATTGCACACACCGCAGGCCTCTCCTCGGCAAACACATAGCAAGGCTGCGTCTGGGATGCAGCTGCGGCCCTGCCTAGCAGGCCTAGGGGATCTTCCCCAAAGCCTCTGATGAGGGCTTGCATTTCACTCCCCTCCCTCCACCACCACCCAAGACAGACTGCGTGGTGGAGATGAAGACTGAGAGGTAGGGAGGTTGATAAACGAGCTGAGCTCCCCCTAAGAGTGGATGGTGGGACTGGTATTGAATCCAGACCAAAATCCAGAACTATGCACCCAGGTGTTGTTAGAGCCCTTACTATGGGTTCAGCACTGTAAAGTCATCGGGCATCACAGGCCGTGTCAGGGATGCTGGAAAGTTAAAACATTGAACTCAAATCTCCCAAAGTCCTCAAAGGCAAGCATTTAACCACAGCAACACAGCCAGGCTTCTGAGTTTTTATTTTCTAAGTTTATTTTTAGTTATTTATTTTTACAATCCTCAACGGCTGGGTTTGCTAAAGGGGATCAACAGCAAAGCCCCGAGTCGCCCAGCCTCTGACAGTGCAAACAAGAGACTCAATAAGTCACAGAGGAAACTCACGCCCCCGTGAGCCAGGGGTCCAGCTGCAGCTGCAGGCGGGAAGCAAGGCCCCAAACTGACCGGAGCCTCGGGGGCGTGTTCTTCAGAGCGGGCGACATTTTTTGACAAATGCTGACATTTTACAGTGTAAACAGAGGACACTTTGCTAAACAAGCCAAGCCGAGCGGCACCAGGTTCACACCGCGTGTTCCCAGCTGCTCTCCCTTCACAGCTGAGCCGACAGGGAAGGGAAACAGTCGCCAGGGGTCGAAGGTGGGTTGTTAACCTCTCCAAATCCACAACACAGAGTTAGAAGCTGCTAAAATGCGGGTAACAGTTCCAAAACCTTTTTATAAAAACAATGAAAATGAGAAGGAAGCTCGCTTAATACATTCATTTGGCTTAGTTCCCATATGGAAATACCCAGAAGTAACCAACACGACTGTGGACTGCGGCGGGTCCAGTAAGGGGTACCACATTTTAGCACCATTTATGTGAATACATATCAAGGCATTTTTCAGTATATAAAAGCTCTTAAGTACAAAAAATATTTTGAAGTTCATAATTAAGCTCAACCACGCCCGGTTACTGGGAAAATGACTGCCAAGACTGGGTATTTCAAGCCCCATACCCTTGCCTTGTATTACTCATGTTTTGGTAACTTCATTCCTGTCCCAAACTCACACCCAAGGAATCACAAGACAGGGATAAAACTCCAACCAGTGTTCTCCTGCATTAATATTAAGCCTTGGCTATTAATGAGCATTCAAAATATTTAAATATACAGGTGGCCACAAGGCCTAGGAACAGAGACATACATAATAAATGGTTTGTTAATATGAGATTTCAATACACTTAATATATCTCTATTTCCAGACTTAACGGGCACTCCGTATAGTTTAATTATACATACTAACCCATTCCACCATTCCCAGTAATACATTTCAATTTACCGTGAAAACAACGCAAATAGGGCAGGTCACCTCCACCCTCCCAAATGCTCCTGGGCCTCAGGCTGTGGGACCTAGAGCACACAAGAGCGTCAACAATGTGACTGCAGATCAGTGTGCACACACGCACATGCATGCATACACACACACCCCACTCCTGGTCATGAGTGAGCCTACCTCAGCCCTACTGCCACCAGCCGTTGGGACAGCCAAACCAGTTTTTTGTGCTTTTCATGGCTCCAAGTTATCCCCTGAATTACACAAGCATTCATAACCAGCTGCCTGTGTCTTCATTCACTGCACAACTCAGCACCGGCTCCCTGGTCTCTGCAGCCCTCAGAAGAGATCACCAACGAGGTTTCCCAAAGGGTGAAGCATTCAGTATTAGACCTCTGTTAAATAAGGGGCTTAAACTGTAGAAGGAATTTGCAGAATCCATGCACAGAAGTCCTTCCACTCATTCAGATTTTTATCCTGTTATAACTTAAGCACAGGAGGTCTGTTAGGCATCTGTTGTTTTGTTTCTAAATGACATTTTTAATCTAAAATCAGTTCCTTCTTCAGTTCGCTTCTTACAGTTCCTTAGGCCATATTAAAATTACTTGACATCGTGCTCTGCCTTTGCTAAACTATGTGGGGATTCTACGCGTCTCACACACATTGCAGATTCACCTCACACACACCCAGGGCTTCCTTTTTATTGTTTTGTTAAGTAGTCATAGATCTTTTAAAAACAGCATTTATTTTTATGTATGTCTAGATGTAAATAAGAGTCCCTGGAGGTCTATGCTTCTGAAAATACTTCCTGGCTTCCGAAGAGGGAGTACCTGCAAAGTATTGCTTAAGAAAGAGAGAGGAAAATAATCAACCTGTATTTTAACACCAAAATGGCGACACAGCCAGAAGTCGATTTGAGTCCTACTTATACGCTGTGATGGTAGGAGTGCTGTTACCATTCAAGACGAAGCAGCACTTCAGTCGTCATCTGGACCGTCTTCCAAAAGGAGACTACAAACTCAAGGTAAAATAGCACCTGAGCGGGAGGGGGAGGCAGGAGGAAGAACACAGGGCCTCTTAGAGAAGGAAAAAACCAAGCACATAAAAACCCACAAAGACTGTTTCTTCCGCAGAGGTGTTAGACTCATGTGGCCTGAGATTTTACCTGAGAAGTTCTAGAATTGGAGGGAAAAGAATACTGAAAGGATATAAAGGCAATGTCTGTTTTCCTTACTCAAAGAAAAATTTCATCAGACATTAACTTATTATGTAACAGTATAATAAAAGTGCAAATGGCTGTAGCAAGAAAGCAGGGTAATCCTGTGCTGTGCATGTAAAACATTTCAGATATGCCACATTCTAAGGAAGAGGAACCGCAAACACTTCAGATCAAATCCCACCTGCGCCTAGATCATAAAGACCACACAGTGGCCTCGTGTTCTCAACTGCGGCCACCACTGTTCCATGTGCGTGAGTGAAACCAATGGATGCTGGATATGCAGAAGGAGCTCAGCAGGTGAGGAGGGGAGCCAGAAAAAGTTCTGAGCGGGCAGTGTCAATTGCATGGAACTTGTTACAGGGAAATTCTTTTAGGTTGTTTTTTTCCCCTTTTTGGCACTTCTATTAGGTAGGTTCTTTTAGGTTTAAATGCACCTTAAATGAGCTCAAAGGTGAAAAGTCATGCCTGCTTAAGGTGAAGATCATCTTTCTGCCAAGACCATAGGATCCAAAACCTCTGAATTCCTGCAATAAACTCTGGGCTACAAATAAGTACAGTGTATTCCTACTACTTTCCTTTTTCTAGAAGACCGTCATTTTAGAGATCCCTCTAAGTAGATTATCCTATTGAATCCACTTTGGTCTCAATTCAATTTCCATCCTGCTGATGTCACCCAACCAGGCCAAGATCAGGAATGAGAAATGGAATTAGGACTCTGAGCAACTGAAGTCACGGGTTGCAACAAAGAAATGTTATTTTTAAAGTTGGCCAATCGTTTACATTTCCTCAAGTACTATTTCTTTGAGAGCTTTGTTTTTCTGATGCTATGATCCCTCTAAGCCTGGACAAAAGTTTGAGAGCAAAATCTCATAAGGCCTTGGGACAGAAAGCAACTTAAAATAAATGCATCCTTTTGAATTTTTATCAATATGGTGGTTAAGACCACAATTTCTGCACACATTCTAACAATATCATACATAGAAAGAAGAAAAAAGTATGAAATGTAAATAATTAAGTTGCCCAGAAGTCTGGTTCAAGTTCACTAATATTAGAACATTTTCAAAATGCAAATACAAATGATCATGAGTATTATTAAATTCAACAGTGGATATGAACCAACAGTCAGATTCAATATCACCCCCGAAGGACACAGACCCCTACTGCCTTGTACAACCTAAACATTTGAAGTATGCTTTAAAAAACGTTCAAGAATGAACAGTAAGCATTTCCTGTTGTAAGTTACAAATACTAAAATGAAGCATCAAAGCCAACAAGAAGTCATTATTATTACTACTTTAATTTGGCTTCTAGGCCCCTCCTGATTTGAGGGACCAGCGCATTTCACAGTGAAGAACACAGCCTCTCCAGTGCATTCACACACCTTTAGAGCAGAAGTAGATTCAAACACTCTAATGAATAAACATCTACCAAAACGTGGCAACTATTACTGACAGCCAACGGGAAAAATACTAATGTAACAGTCTGCATAGTTTTGTGTGTCCTCTGAGCTTCTTCAGCTAAGAATTTTAATTTTTAAGTGAAAGCAAAACAATTTTCAAAAAAGGTTTGCCCCTCCCAAAAAAACAGATTAGATAGCTTATAAACTATATTAAATTGGACCAAACAAAGACTTTAACTATTCTAAAATAAAGCTTGGTACTTCAGGTTAACACCACCTCCACAAATGCTGAGCCAGTCCAGGTGCTGCTGATACAGCCCCAGAGGGACGTCTGCTTCCTGCCAACAGTGTCCACAGTCTGCGCCCCACGTGGATGGGCCCTAATGCAGACCATGCTCAGCTGGGCTGCCCTGTCCCCACACCCTAGTCACCACCCTAGCCTGTGACAACGCAGGCAACAGCTAACGGCCAGGAATAATGCCTCCCTCAGGCTTCCCAAACTAGATCCAGGCCAGATGCAGCTCAGCGCTCCCTTTGCAGCACTCAGTTTTAATACATGCTTCTGCTTAAACCCACTCATGAAAATCTTAGACACTGCTATTACTCACCCCTGCCAACAGACGAGTTACATGAACTTGGCAATGGAAGCACCCTCAAAAACACAGCATGAAAAGGGCCCAGGATCCAGCTAATTCCCACCTGGGAACTCAGATGAGTGCCTGAAAGTCATTTGGCTTTAGTTTCCTCCTCTAAAACCACAGTGGATCTAAGCTCTGTTCTGGCCATAAAATGGTGGCTCCCTAGAAGTGGAGAATCACGAACAGCCCGACCCTGGAGCTCAACTGCCAGCAGCGCTCACTCCGCTGACAGCGCACCACCTGCACCAGGCAGCAGACCCGCTGTGTCCTCAACCCCAGGCACCCGTCATGTTCTCAAAGAGCAAGGATTTCCAGGTGCCACTGCCTCCCTCCTGCAGTTCTTTCTCCAGCCTTTAAATAACTCACTTTTGGATCCAATTCTTAATCTTCTATTAGACAATCTCCTTAGAATACCTTTAATTAATATATAAATCCAAACCACTGCTCAACGAGACTATCAGAGGATGTTATGACTGTGCCATTCACAGACTCCATCCCAGAATTTACACCACGTGAGCAGATTGCATAGGAAGGGCACTACAGAGACCCATTACCATTAAAACAAAAAAAATTACTCTTTAAAAAAATTGAAAGTCAGTCTACAATTAGAGAAAGTTTTCATGTAAGACATAAAGAACATATTCCTCTCCAAGATGAGTCTCCTCGCATACAAAAGTATTTGTTTTATGAAGATGTAGTTTGCACCTTCCCAGAGGTGAGCTCTGAAGGCCCCCACCGAAACATACTGAATCCCAGATGAGGGGAAATACTTGGTTAATTCTTCTCATCGAAAGCTAGTCTTCAGAACATCCCAGTCCAGCTTGGCTCACGGGGCCCAAGAGTTCTCACAGCTCATTCTTAGAGACTCGCAGGCCCAAAGCCCAAGCCAAGGAGCTGCCTGCGCACCTTGGCCCCATGGCCAGGCTGTCCCGGCATGCTCCTCTCACAGACTCGTCTCCTCACACACTCTGACGGGGATGTTGTAGTGCCGATCATCCTCAGCGATCAGGGTCACCACCGGCCAATCCCTGGGTGGGTCAGTGGGGTAGACTGTGAGGAACTCTTCAGTGCTGTACTTGGAGAGCCGGTACACCTGGATGGTGTGGCGCACAGCATAGGCGAGAAGGAACATTTCAACCTGGGGGAAGAGCAAACGGGTCTGCGGAGGGAAGCCACACTGAAAAATGCAGCTCACCACCTGCCCCATCCCGCATGTCTCAGGAGTGCACACCACGGCTGAGCCGCAGCCTCTCTTCCTGCCCATGAGCCCAGCCCAGGCCACTTCTCTAAGGTCCTTACGAAGAAGCAGATCACCAAGAATGGATCATACAGCTGACAAGGGATTTGTATCCAGAATATATAAAGACTGTTACCACTCAACAATGAAGAAAACAACCGGTTTAAAATTGAGCAAAGGATTTGAATAGAATAGATATTTCTCCAAAGGAGGTATGCAAATGGCCAAGAGCACCTGAAAACTCATCAGGGAAATGCAAATCAAAATGACAATGAGATCCCACTTCACACCCACTAAAATGGCTGTAACAAAAAGACAGGTAACAAGGGGGGGGGGAGGGGTCTTATCTTTTGGGTGATGAAAATGTTTTGGAACTTGATACAGGTGGTGGCCACACAGCACTGTAAATGTACTAAAATCCATGGAGTTCTACACTTTAAAATGGTTAATTTTGTGTTATGTGAACTTCGCGTCAAAAAAAAAGAAGTGTTGGTAAGCATGTGGAGAAATAGGACTCTGAAACACTGCTGGTGGGAGAGTAAAACAGTGCTTTAAAAAACAGTTCCTCAAAATTTTAAACAAAGAATTACCATACGACCCAGCAATTCCACTCTGCAGTACATACCCAAGAGAACTGAAAACACAGGTCCATAAAAAAACTTTTTACATGAATGTTCATAGGATTATTCATGATAGCTACAAAGTGGAAACAACCCAAATGCCCATCAACTGATGAATGGATGAATAAAATGTGATATATCCATACAATGGAATATTATTTGTCAATAAAAAGGACATGCTGCAATATGGATGAATCTTGAAAACATTAGGCTAAGTGAAAGAAGTCAAAAGGCAACATATTATATGATTCCATTTACTGTAACAAATGTCCAGAATAGGCACATGTATAGCAACAGAAAATACACTAGTGGCTGCCTAGGGCTAGGGGGAAGGGGGAATGGGTACTAATGGGTATGGGGTTTCTTTTAAGGGTGACAGAATGGTCCAAAATTAGCCTGTAGTGATGGCTGCAAAACTCTGTAAACATACTAAAAACCATTGAGTTACACACTTTAAAAGGGTTTAAATTTCATGGCATGCAAATTTTATCTCAATAAAGTTGTCTGTTTGTGTTAGTGGACTCTCCATTACAGCAGACCTTGTGGGGACTCAGAAAGGACTAACGTTAGTCTAATATGCAAACCATGCTCCACTAAGCTTTTTTCTGCAAGGTATTTGCTACAGTTCGGGAGACATAAGTAACCCACATTATGAGTACAGGTAATTATCTCCAATCCTGCCTGACCCAGCAGTGATCATCACTTTCGCTCTTTCCTACATACCAGGAAACAGCAAGCACAAGAGTCAGCAGTGGGAGCAGGAAGATAGGGAGAGTCTTAAGGCTACTTTAGTGGTTGGCTATTCCACTGAAAAAAGGCTTAAGCTTTTTAGGGCAACATAATGAATACATTAAAGATAGAGTAACTGTTGGCTCGCAGGACAGTACTGCATTGGGTCTCTGCATTAAATCTCCAAACTTAGCATATCTGTAAAGGATCCAAGAGCAGGCTGGGCTCTACTGGCTAAGGTGACTCCATTTCTGTTTTTAAAGGATGCTATCCAATATAGTCACAGCTGCCAAGATTAAACAAGACTCCTCAGATGACTCTTTCAAGTGCTTCACTTATTTGTGGATTACCAGGCAAAGGGTACTGATCCCATCCACCAGTCTGCAAAAGCAAGCCCAGGCTGAGACAACTGTGTTGGTTTTAAAATAGGTTCACAATTCTTTGGCACTCCTCCCTTGAAAGGTGGGACCTAATGCTCGTCCCGTGAGTGTGGGATGGATTTAGTGACTTGCTTCTAACAAACAGAAGACGGGCTACGTGATGGTGTATGACTTCCAAGATTAGACCATAAAAGGCACTGTGGCTTCCTCCTTGCTCTCTTCTTGGATCACTCTCTGAGAAGCCAGTGGCCATGTGGTGGGGACACTCAAGCAGCCCTATGGAAAGGCCCACATCCTGAGGAACTGAGCCCTTCTATTAACTACCAGTGAGGGACTGAGGCCTCCTGCCAACAGCCAGGTGAGTGAGCCACGTTGGAAGTGGATCCTCTAGTCCCAGTCAAGCCCTCAGATGACTGGAGCCCTGAATAATATACAACTGCATCCTCCTGAGACCCCAAGCCAGAAGCGCCCAATGAAGCTGCTCCTGTATCTCTGACCCAAAAAAACTGTGAGATAATGTTAGATGGCTAAAGCTGCTGTTTTGGGCTAATCTACTCCCAAAGGCACAACTCACCTGTTCAAGGCCACCAGTGTGTCCCACCTGGTTTAGATGGTTCCTCAGCAGCTGTCCAGGGTCATTTGATGTGTCCCGAGCAAAGAGAAGCACAGAGAAAAATGGTACTTCCTTTCCCTTCTCTTTATCATCATATAGTTCAATGGCTCTGTTCAGCATTAGAAATTTTACAGCTTCATAAAGGCTGTATTCCTCCTCTTCATTTGTGAACAGTTCATCACAAGCTATCTGCCTTGCTTCAGCAGTTCTCAGCTCAGCCAAGCCTGCCCACTACAATAAGAAAGTTACATAATAATTAAATTCTTGTTCTAAAAGTCCCTGGTATACTTCCATACTATGAGCACAAAATGATTTTCAAAAGTAGGCAACCATGAGTCACGTACCAATGCTCAGAACATTCATGTTTCCAGTCAAACAATGGTGCTCTTTAGACCACACAAATTCCTTATTCAGCTTTTCCCCCATTAATTTGAAACAAAAGTACAATATGCAAAGGAGAAGCACTGGGGCGGTGGAATAAAATTTTGACTCCCTAACTTCCCAGGCAAGGAGATTGAACCGATCAATCAGAAACACTTGTGGAAGAGCTACTGTGTGTGTAGGAGGCCTGTGTGTGAAGCTGTGATGGGGAGCTAAAACTATTGCTCCCTGAACGGGCTTACAGGAGCAGATACCACCCAGAAACACCAAGCCAGCCTCCAACAACAAAGACGAGCAAAGAAGACTGTGAAGTCTCCTGAATTACGAGTTTACTAAACTTACTCCTCTAACCTCGCAAAAATACACAGCGTTTCAAATAAATAAGCCCAATCACGAAATTCTTATTGACTTCTGATTATGAATAAAGCATAGTATTAGGTATTCAGCTAACATAGGCAAACTCCTTAAGTGAACAAGAAAACCCTAAAAATATATGTGCTTTTAAGTTAAAGTGAATGAGAATAAGAGATGCCAACATAAAACTAGTCCTTATGAATAATCAGTAACTACTGCTCCCCTGAAAAACCATTAAAATTTTTAATTCAAGAGTATGTTTTAATGATAATGACAGCACCACAGGATTCTCTCCAATATTTGGGTTGAAAGCTAGAACATCTCATATTTTCCAGAAGTAGATCAAGTTGGCAGTCAAGAGCATGGTTCCAGAGTCAGAGAGTCAGATTGGAATGAAAGCCTCAGCACCAAGCAGGTGGTGGTTTTTGCAGGGCATTAAGCAAGCTCTGGGCCTTAGTTTCCTCATCTGTAAAACAGGGATAACCACGGCAACAACTTGGTGGTTTGTGAGAATTACATAACGCCTGAAACTTTTAGTGTACAGCCTGGCACATGGGAAGTGGTAATAATGCTGGCTCAGATTATCAATGAATAATTTTAATGTCATTGTAAATTCAAATCACTCAAACATTCCAAAAAATGAGGCTCTAGTTACAGCAGACACACCTAAAAATGCAAAAATTGCAATTTCACAAGAACTTAAAAGGGAGAAAAAGGAAATCGTCACCAGCGGCTGAGCTGAAGAGCCTTCCTGTTCACTCCCACAGGGCCGGAGCCCTGCCCTTGACCTTCCACTAACCAGGGCCTGGGTGAGCGCAGGCCCCCAGGCCCCACACAGCCTGTGCTCTGCTCCAACAGGCAACGACAACAGAATCCCTCTTCCCCACTCTTGCTCCCATGTCTTTAACGGCAGTCTTCCTTTGATTGCGCATTTTCCAGTAAACACTTTTTACATTTCTAAATAAAAACTAGGTTCCAGGAAGTCGGAGCCCTCAGTTCATTCATTCAACAAAATATTTACCCCATGCCTCTTATGTGTGAGGCTTGGTGCTCAGCACTGGGTGTAAAGGAATGAACAGGACAGTCTCATGGAGCTGAAAGTCTAAACGGGGTGGCAGACCATATTCAAGTAAACATATCAACAAGTGGGGGAAGCGCTAGAAGGAATCTTGAAAGCCGATGTCCGAAGCCTCCTTACCCACCCTCCTCCTCCATCTACAAAGCCTGGAGCAATCAACAGGCCCTCGACTCAGGGTTCCTGGTGAGGAGAGCTTCAAGCTGTTCAAGGCAAGCAATCTAGTGGTTAGTGTGGGCCAGTGTGCAGGCAGGACATCCAAACCACAGGAGACCGTGGAAAGCCACAGAAAGGAGTATTTTAATAACCAAATCAGTGAGAATCAGCAGACAGAGTTCTGCCTACAATCTGTGTCAGAGAAACCCTCAGGAGAGTTTTCACAACACAAGTTACTAAGCCAACTCACTGCGCAATCATCAGAAAAGAAAACAAGTCTAATAAATACGGAGAGAACTGTAAAACAGGGACACAATTGGGAAGAATCTAAAAAACGTGAATTCATGTCACTGATAACACTCTAAGAAATATGGACTGAATGATATCCCTGAAACTTGTCAGGGTGACTTAGAACAAAGACGAAACTCGTTATGGTTTCCTTTCAAGAAAGTTAAAACAATTCATGAAACACATCACCTCCTCCAAGAATATACCATACTGATAATTCTCCACTTTACCCAAGACCTCACAGCAAGAGTCGTGCTCATTTAAAATGATTTTGCCACAAAACCAGCCCAGAGCATTTGCTAATCCACTGGGTGAGGACTGAGAAGTGGTCTGCTGGGCAACCAGGAGTGAGAGCTTCGCACTTAGCAGAGAGAAGAACTACACGTTCCACACCTTCTTCCTTAGCAGAGTGAGGGACTCCTTAATTTTATCAACCAGGTTCTCGCTCTTCCCCTCAAATTTCAGTCCAAGTTTCCACTGCTTGATCCAGTTGTACTTGCTTATGAGTTTTTCTGGTAACTAGAGCATAAGAAAAGAGAAATAAAGAATGTTAACATTCCAGAAAACGCATCACACGATCCAAGCTCTAAGAAGCCATGAAGCCTACAAAACCAACCTGCACTTCCAGAATTAATCCCTACAAATCTGTTGTGTGGGTTCAGGATGGAGGACCTCAATCTGGAGGTCAGGAACTCAGAAAGTTCCACCCTGAGGAGGGCTGCCAGGGTGAAATGGTGGTTTGGGATGAGCTACAAGGGCACACTCTGCTTTGCTGGGCTTCAACCACACCAGGAACACTACACAGCACTGTCAGGGTACGCTGAGAAGTATCCACACCGCGTCTTCACATAAACTACCCAGGCAGCGTCCTTCCCACTCCTGAATGCATGACTCTGGAAGGCGCTTCGGGGCATGTGAGATGGTCCAGGATACAGTAAAAACCTGCTCCTCTCCTGATTAGGAAAATAAAACCTAATTTCTGATATTAACACACATCCTCAAACTTTTAATATTCAAAGAAATAACACTGTATCTACTTTAACTGCTTAATCAACACAGTAAGATAAAAAATACAACTGAGACTGGGCAGCAGGGGCTAAGGCAGCTGTGTCAGCCTAGCTCATTAAAGAAGTGACAGCTGAACTACTACTTTGCCTACTTTCTGTTTTTTCCTGGAGCATTTGTTATTTTGCTTTCCCCTCATCATCAACAGAATGTGGAGTCTGAAAGGCAAGCTGGGACACAACTTGATGGATGACAGCATAGGAACTCAGACTCTCCCAAGAATCTTGGGTGTGTCAGGAGAAAATCCATATAATTAGGCTGGGCACAAGCATGTCACTTCACAGCTATAAAATTTAGAAAGGAAAAAAAAGTTTACCTCCAAGTCAGAAGATCATTAAAGAATAATTAATTCCTACAACCTCCTACGTGGCACCTGAGCTTAACAATCATAAATACAGTTTTAAATGAGGCCGTATGTTCTCCTGGAATCTAAGACTCTTTCCTGAACGGTAATTCTAGTTTTACCTTCTCAATCTACAGCAATCACGTGAAACGAAGGTGGTTTTATCTCTGCAAAAAACAAAACCACAATAGGGATGGGAATTCCTCTTCAGCTGCCCACAGTGGTGGCGATCTACACTCACTCACTGGGCGGGGAGGGTGGGTTCTCCTCATCTTATGATGACGACAAATGACCTCCTTTTCAAGAGCTGCCCAGCTCCATGACCACACTGTCCTGCATTTCAGCAACATGTGGCCAGTTCTGCTGCAAACCTTCAATTAGGTTCTCAGGTTTATCATGAGAACCTAAAATGCCCTCAAGTGGCCACAAGCTGAAATCACAACTGGGCACAAAGAGGGCAACTGAGCAGAAAACAGTGGCTCCCCACATGTGAGCTGGGAACCTGGGTGAAGGGCAGCTGAGCACCATGGGACATTGTGTGCAGGTGTCTGAAAGGCAGGCACAACACCCAAGTGACTGACTCAGGAGACCCCAAAGGTCTCACCAAACAGAGGGAAATCTAAATAAAAGTCTGTTTCCTTGTTCCTTCCATGTATTGGCCAAACTGTTGCTAGGATAATTATCCAGCTCAGGGATGTATACTTCTGGAAGATGTGGAGAGCCTCGAGAGAGAATCCAAAAAACTAGGTGTGAAAAAGAAACTATGAGGAAAGAATAATAGAGTTGGAATTATTTACTCATAAGAAAAAAGTGAATATAACTTTCAATGCTTCCAGGGGTCATAACTCAGAACACATAGCAATAGCCTTTCTTTTCTACTAAGCACGCAGGGACTGGACTTCTGTTAGAATAAGGGGGATATGAGCAAGAAACAAGATGTAAACAAGAAACAATGATGGGAAATATCTAAGAATAAAGTAGGTAATTAGCTTAGGTATAATTTCATCTGTGACTGAACTGTAAAAGCAGTGCATTTTATCTGCTAGTCTCTATAATTCTTGAAATCACCAGCAAGATTAAGGGATAGCAAAATAACAAAAGTATGCCAATCCAAAAACTAACTCATAAAATGAGTTTTGATACAGTCTATCACACTCTAAGCAAACACTGTCATGGGCCCCATCCATTCAGAGACATTTTAAAACTTAGCGAGCTGGGAAACCAAAGGACCCCTGCCTTGAAGGACACCACCTTTCGGGGACCCAGGCACTGTCCAAGTTTAAGCACTACCAGACCAAGGGACCTCCAAGGTTGGGGCCAGGGTCAGATGATCTGACTGCAGTCAAACACTGTGACTGGGACCTGGGCAGAAGCAGGAACCACACACAAGGAGCCCAGGCAGGGCAACAGCAGGTGAAGGGAGGCTGAAGTGCCAGAGGGACAGTGAGGGCAAAGCTCAATCTCCCAGACTGGGAACAGAGCAAGGCCAGAGGAGCTGAGCACCGGCAGAAAGCAGTCTCGGCTCTCTTCCACTGAGTTCAGATTAAAGAGAGGGCCTCTGAGTCTAATTCTCCTGGGTGCCTTTCATATCCTGAAACCAAGTATGTTCTAGGAGAGAGGGAACACGGCAAATGCTACAGAGAACATCTCTCAATCTGCAAATGGAAGCAGGTACAGCTAGCTAAAATGTGCATGTCCCTCAGTAACAAAATACGGCTTCTCTGGGCTCACCCCAATTCTTGATGAAATGCAAACTGAGGTCAAGGGACTAGTTTCACACAGCATGGGGCCTGCAGGCCTTGGGCTGAGGCTGGTTCTGGGTCTACAGGTTCACACACAAACTTAGATGTCCCAGGACCTGTGCGATCCCCACAGCTGAAGAGGGGGGCTACTCTAGAGCCTGTGCAATTCAGGAGACCCTAATAATGCTGAGACTAGACACCCTCCACCTGCCTGCTGAGACCAGCCTTTTTGTGTCCCCAGAAGTGGTCAGTGCTCTCAGGGCTTTTAAAAGCCCCATGGACACAGTAACCAAGGATGTTTGTGCCATGAACTGACCAGGACATAGGACTGTCATTGGACACGAGGTAGTGGTCAGAAGAGACCCTCAACATTTCAGAAAGACAAGGAGCAAGGTAACCTGAGACACATCCATTGTCAAAAAGCTATTGTGGGTCTGGTCCAAGTATTTTTAATGGCAAGCCTACCCCATTTTTAACACAAATAATTTATACCAAGTTCTAACAGCAAGCAGAGTTTTACTTAATACGACAGGATACAAGATACTCTGATATATCAGGAAGACAGGTAGAAAGTGGGCACACTGAGTTTCATACCAAAACTCCTGTAAGGTTTTCTTGTTTTGCAGCAATAGTTATTTAAGTATCACTTGATCCGCCTGTCTTAAGCATGTATGTTAACAAACAAGTATTAAAATGTTTACTTATTATAGTTACACAAGTAGTATCTGGAGACGGAGGGACTCACTTCCCAGGTGAGGTGGCCCAGGCACCCCACCACTATCAGACGCACTGCTAGCCTCTGCCGGCCTCACCACCCCTCTGTCTGCACACCTGGTTCCATCCCGACTTCTTCCAGTCACACTGCGCCACCCACTTGCTCACTCAACGAGGCCCCAGCCAGAGCAGACGTTCCGAGGGAAGACTAGTGGAGGGAGAAGAGGAACGGAAAGGCATCCACAGAAAGGCGTGAGGGACAACTGGGAGGCAGTGAAAAGACAGCGTGGGCAAGCACAACCAACCAATCTGTGTGCCCCTTCCTGCGCCAGCACCTCAAATCAGAAACACGTGCTGCACCTGTCACTGGCTCAAGCCTCAGAAGTGACACAATAGAACAGGTAGTGAAAAGAAACTCATCAAACCAAGGTCAGTTGGTGGGATCTGGCAAGTCAACACAAGGACAAGTCTTCCAGTTGGATGAAAGCAAGAAAAGAATGAAGTCACTTCTTCAGTCCATATTTAACAGAACCAAAGTTTAATAAACTTAAATACTAAACTCACAGACAGGTATGATGAGCTTTTTCTCTTTGACGTGGTCTCTTGGCATTCAATAAAGCTTAGATGACAAAAATAATACCATTGTGACCAACTAATTAGATTATGCTCCCAAGAGAAAAACTATATTTTTAGCTGATAGACACAAAAAAGGGGACACAAAAAAGGGAAGAAATTGGAAAGAGAATTTAAAAACTGTTTTCACATGGCTCAAATGAAATTTAAGACCTTAAAGCCCCATAGCTCATACATGCACCATATTCCAATAATGATCAGAAACCCAGCACAATCAACCTAGACTATTTTTGTTACAGCAGATGATCTTACCAAAGGTGTCCTGCTGGTAAAATAAAAAGGACGTTGTGCTTTACTCTCATGGCATACATTTTATACGCTTAATTATGTAGAACACTACTTGCACCAGAATTCCTTGGAAAGTATAAAATTTCAAATTCATTATGTCAATTAAGTCCCTAAACCTAAATAGCCCCTTAAAGGAAAAGGCTTAACGGAAAACTCAGCCTAAAATTGAGGAGGATTTTATGTCACAATCTATAAATTAAGGTATGGTTGTCAAACACAGAAGTAAAAGTAAAAAGCCAACCAAGTGAAAATCACTCATGTTTGCTTTTTCTAGCAGAGTCCTGGATCCAGAGACACGCTTCTGTCGACTGATCAATAATTCTGAAATATTTCACTACTAATAAATGCCATGATTTGCAAAGAAAAAAGCAGCCTAGTGTATCAATTTCTTTGCCTCTATATTAAAAAAATAAATTAATACTGAGAAATCTGCTTAAGATGACATTTTTGCTTAGAAGAAAATCTCTTTCATAGCTATCATTTAGACAGTTTATACAGGTACACTAACTTTATGTCGGTTTATAAAACGGACAATCACAGGACAGACAGCTAGCATCCTCCACCCACGGGTCCTGGTTTTGCCCTTTAAGGGCGTGTGAGCCCTCATCCACTCGGACCTCTAACTAGCTTAGCTGGCAACCAGTCTCCTCTAAAAGTCTCCCTATTGTAAACAAATACCTCGGCTCCTTCAACTGTTCCCAAAACAGATGAATCATCTTGGTCACCCTCCCCTCTGCACTGAGGATACAGGCACAGAGCTGCACTCGGTCCTCAAGACGGGATCTGATGAGCCCAGCTCAAGACAGGACTGTCACTGCCTGAGTTTCAGCAGCATTCCTTTTGAAACAGGGCTTCGTTAGCACCGCCAGCCACCACATGTCACGCGGGCTCATACAGGGCTTGCAATTACCTAAAATCCTGATGTCTTTTTTTTTTCCTCATAAGTTGCTGGTAAGGCAGATCTCCCACAGCTGGCACTTTGGGTTTTGTTTTTCCTTTTTTGCTTTTTTATAAATATAAGCACAGGACTTCCGATTTTCTTCCAATTACTGTCATACTGTCAGTTCTGCTCAATCATTCCTGTCCACCAAACTCTTTTGGGAAATTCTATCATCCAACCTCATCTGATGCATGTCGTGGACACACGACACACAGATTCGTGACTTCCTGGGGTGGCACTAGCACACTGCAGATTTAAAACACTAATGAGGGCCACACATGGGACACAGGCCCTGACCCTCACCTCCCCAGGAAGCCTCTCCCAGGGTGACACTAGTCACCTTTCTTCTGGTGTTGCTGTTCAGCTGTCTCCTAAGCCAATCCTCCTAACACTACGCACAGGGTGCTAGTTTCTTGATTTGGAGCTGGAACTACAGAATGTGCATTCCACAACCCCAGCAGGTTCTCAGACAGTACAACACACAGCCCACTTAATACAGACACCAAAACTGAAGTCACGCTGCTCCTAAGTACTTTTTACAAACTAACAACCTGCTCTCTAATTCAGCTGAATTGTTCAAATAAATTTTATCATGTTCCTTTTCAGGGAAATAACAATCATTTTTGGTCACTGTACTATGCAAAATCATCCCAACCACACAAAACCAAATAAACCCACATACTGACATCATACAGCAGACTGTACCAGCACACAGCAGAGACAGGAAAGGGAAGTCTTCCTCACAGAAACGAGTGGAAACGGTGCGGACTCAAACCTGCAGCAGCAGCGTACCAGCGTGAGCTCTGGGTCCTGCAGCCAGGGGGGCAGCGCCGCTGGCTGGCTCATGGCCTGGAAGAGTGTGGCCCTCAGCGCACAGTAATTATCTCCACGGACTCGCCGTATCGAGGTGAATTTCTGAGACACCTCCTCATAGCCCTAGGTGAAAGCATCAAAGAATTCAAAATGGTCATTACTGACTTAGGATAGTGAAGAGAGTTTTCTTCTTGGGGAAAAAACATGCCCCTGACCACCGGAAGAATAGAAACAAGACTGACTGTCCCTCACATAAGATACTGTAATTCCTTTTTTAATAATCAAAAGAAATTAACGAATGTTAAAATACAAATACTATGGAATACAGAAGTATTATACCAAATATCAGTATATGGAACAGACACAACACACTAGAGCATATAAAATAATACACCCAGTATCATTAAAACATCAGCCACCCCCAAAGCTGGAGTTATATATTCCTTTCTCAGCAATTGTTGTAAGATTCATTTACTGATAAACATTCTAAAGAGTTAAATCTGTGTTTAAACTGATCCTAAAGTGCTTAATGAAGAGATAAGAAAAGAGAGATACACTAAGTTTGCATCTCCATATTTTTAAAAAATATCCCAAAATCCCAACTTTCCATGGTATATAATAAAGTCTACATGCTAGGAGGAGTCTGGATAATTCTGCTAGACTTTTCCAAAAAGTGGATTTAAGTGTCATTCTTATTCAGTCTGGAAGTGAAACGAGGAAATGAAAATGTTCAGTGACATGCTCAGTCACTCAAAAACAGCCATCCAAATGGAGCATTTTGAAGCACAACCCAAAAAAGGACACCATAACATCCTAGTGACCTGGTCCGCAGGCAGCCCACATGCCTAATTTCTCTGGCTGGACACTGCTCAGGCCTTGGTCTGGACTTCACTGCTTCCCCCATCTCACTCACCCGACTCCTATGGGTCCTTTTGCTCATCATACTCCTCCTTGACAGTCACTCGAAACCTGCTCCCTACCCTGCACTTACACCCAGGAAAGGCCATCACTCTCATCGTGGGGTGGACATTTATAGTCATCCTGTGTCCAAGCACTGGACCCTCATTATTAGTTGTCACAGGATGACATTCTAAGCGGATATGAAAGTACTTCTTTCCAATAATAAAATTTTGAGTCACATTTTTATTTAATGGTCCAACCAACACAACACATGAGGGCCCATCAAGCAGACTCAGGCCTACAAATGTGCACCTCTTTCCTGTGGTGGACCCCTTCCACCCCCGAATTCTCACAGGGACTAGTTCAACAGCAACTGCCCCTTAGCAAATGCAGAAATTACTCGTGCTATTTCAGAGGTGAATCAAACTTTTTAATTCGGATTTATACACACTTACTTCCAAAAGAATATCCAAAACAAAAATAGACACTTAGACAAACAAGGACCAAAAAAGAACTGAGATCCAAGCTGTTACCAAGCTCCAAGATGCTCTAATTATGGCTATGGGTCCTGATGTGATGCTTTTCTAACTGATGCACTTTTGATTATTTGGTCACAGAAAAGTCCAACTACAGGGTCAAATCTTTCCCTTGAACTAAAATCACAGAGGAGTGACTTCAGCAAGAGTTCCAAAGTATGGGACATTTGGATAACTTCACAGATACCTTGAGTTACGGACCTTAAGGTATAAACTGTTAGGTCCTTTAAAGATTGTGAGATCATAAAATAAAATTATCAGTGAAAGCACTTCTGGAGAAGATGAGAAAACACGGGGCAAATATCTGGCCTTCTGGTTATCTTGACACAGGGCTGGAAGTTGTCAAATAATCTGAGTGGCCACATTCAGCAGACAGCCTCACAAACCTAAACATTCTTAACCTCTAGCAGGAAATCGAGAGTCCCAGCTATTTCATGATTGAGTTCTCCAACAAGAGCCTGAGCCACAGAGAGTCTGCAGTCCAGACCTGCAGACAGCAGAGCTGACGTTTGCTCTCAGAGCTTTAAAAGCGGCAGCTACAATCTGAGTAAAGTCAGCTCATCTCAGGGTGGGCACAGGAAGCTGAGGGGTCTGCTGAAGGATGCACAGTATTTTTTACAAAAACAAGCTCTGAGGAAAAGAACAAGTGTATTCAAATATTTAAGAACTTTAAATCCCCAACAATACAGTTCTAAACAAAAAATTTAGAAAGATAGTTCTATCAAATGTGGCAGGGCAATATCTCTAATATACAAGAAGTGCATTCAAATTCATAATGTAAACAATCCCAAGAGGAAAATGAGCAAAGGATATAACCCAGAGGTTACAAGAGGTGGTGGAAGCGTTAGGTTGAAACTGCCATTTTTGTAGCTTAGAAATAGTCAAATAGTAGCAATTTCACATGGTTCAAACCACTAAGGAAATGTTGAATTCATGGTACATTCAAGAGGGAACCAATGGTATGCTGCTCAACAAGCTGTGCGGTGGGAGTGGGTCAAGGAGTCTGACCTGAGCAGTGACCCAGCCCCATCGCAGTCACAACAGGACATCATGGGAATCCCCAACATCCCACGGCGTTGAGAATACTTAGGGTCACCAATCTATGCAATGGGACTGGGAAGGGGCAGCTCCTGGGACCTGTGAAATGAAGGGAGCAGTTCCAGATCCCTCCACATACGGAGTGCAGGAGGGGTCAGGCCCCTAGGACTGGAGGGTAGGAAACCAAACGCAGGTGGGGACAGCAGGAGGTATGACTTCTGAGGCTTTTACCTCACCAGGCCAGAAGGGCATTCCCAAAAGACCCCAAAAGGACTACAAATGGCTGGCCCAGCTCTAAATGGCACAAAGTCATTTATGTGTTTTTCAAAGAAATCAGCTCATTATACAACTGATGCTGATTCTATATTAACACTGTGACGAAGTAAGTCCCTTATATCTAGAGCCTGTTTCCTCAGCTCTAAAATTAGAACACCAATATTTACATAGTCTAAAAGTTAACTTAACATCTAAAATCATAAAAGAATATATTAAATAATTACTTAACAGTTACTTATAGACTATTTGAAAAACTTGAAATATGTGCATCTAGGCATCATACCTTTTTCATACATGTTGCTTTTTGTGTATTTCCCCTCCATTCTTTTTTGCAGTAGTCCATGATATCCATTTCAGGAGCTACACTTAATCTGAGTTCTGTTAAAGAACAAAAAAAGGGGAGGTAGTGATGAAACAAAGCATAATCAGAATAACAATACTGCTTTACTTGGGAGTTACTGTCTTTCTCACCTCATTCCAAAAAAATCCAGGATCTCCCCCGACTGCCTACCACCTGGTCCAGACCACCATCACCTCGCTCCTAGACAATCAAGAAAGGTCTCCTGATGGGTCTCCCTTGTCACCACACCCTACTGACCATTCTCCACATGTAAGTCAGACAATACCCATCACTTCCAGGCTCTCAGAGCTCCAGGGGCCTCCCATCTCACTCAGAGTGGAATAGATATTTTTACAACCTGCGAGGGCCCCCTGCCTTGGCCCCTCACTGTCTCTCTGGCCTCAGCTCCCACAACTCCCTCACTGATGGCTCCTGCCTCACCTGCACCCTCCTCTGCACTCCTTCAACACACCTGGCTCTTCCTCAGGTACCTGCTCCCTCACTCCAGACAAATCTCTGCTCACCTCTGACACCCCTCCATCATAATGTCACACACACCCCTTCACTCTATTTCCTTTATACTGTTTGTTTTTCTCCTTGGCACTGATGAACACCTGACATATTCCTTTTTCTACCCCCATGCTCTCCAACACACACACAGCCTCCTACACACAGAGTGAAGCATGAGCTCCTTGAGGGCAGGAGCTTGCTTTATTTCTTGGCTGTGTTCTCAGCACCTGCGACTGCACTGCCACAGACATCCATGAATACTGTTCTAATCAATTAAAGATGCAACAGTCTGAGCTACGAGAAAATACGTCTGTTGTGTCATTTGTTTTTTACATCCGTTATAGAGATAACACCTCTATAACAAAAACTATATTTAATTGTCTTTTTATTTATATCCTGCCCTGATCCCAAAAAGCTATAAGTTGTTGATAATAAGCCAGAAACAGAGCTCTCAATGTAAGTTGGACAACAGACCTCATTTGACTCTAATGACACATCCCCCAAAATTAAAAATACAACTTATGAGGGGCTGGCCCCGTGGCTAAGTGGTTAAGTTCGCGCACTCCGCAGCAGGCGGCCCAGTGTTTCGTTAGTTCGAATCCTGGGCGCGGACATAGCACTGCTCATCAGACCACGCTGAGGCAGCGTCCCACAGGCCACAACTAGAAGAACCCACAACGAATAATACACAACTATGTACCGGGGGGCTTTGGGGAGAAAAAGGAAAAAATAAAATCTTTAAAAAAAAAAAAAAATACAACTTATGATCAAATCACAGTAAAAGAACGGCCTTTAGATTTTCTGTGCTTAACATATGAGGTCTGGAGTTGACTTTGTGATATCACATATGCACGCACATGTGTATGTCTGTCTGTCTGTTTCAGGAAGAAAGGGGGAAATTCTCAGGCATATTTTGACTTCCTTTTTAAATTATTGAAGAAGTAAACATTAGCAAAGGAATTAGGATATAAACACAGAAGTACCTTACAACATATTTACTCTGAAGGAAGTTGTACATAAAATAAAAATGTTATAATCAGGGGGCCAGCCCCGTGGCGGAGTGCTTGAGTTCGTGCGCTCCGCTTTGGCAGTCCAGGGTTTCACCAGTTCCGATCCTGGGTGCGGACATGGCACTGCTCATTAGGCCACGCTGACGCAGTGTCCCACATGCCACAACTAGAAGAACCCACAACTAAAATATATACAACTATGTACTGGGGGGATTTGGGAAGAAAAAGCAGAAAATAAGAAAATAAATTAAAAAAAGAAGATTGGCAACAGTTGTTAGCTCAGGTGCCAGTCTTTTAAAAAAAAAAAAGTTAGAATCAGCTCAATTCAATATCTGCTGAGTGTCTAATATGTGTCAAGCATTTAGCTGGGAGCTGGGGATACGAACGCATCAAAGACTCAGATTCTGTGCTCAGTGGGTTTACAGACTACTGGAGAGGAAAAGACAACAGGCATTCCCGGGCCAGGGTGTGATGGATGCCGGAATGATTGACCAAGGAGCACAAGAGGAGTCCCTAAGCCCTTCTTGCAGTCTAGTAAATCAATTCTTTTTTTAATGCAAAACAGAACTATTTTTTAATATCTCACCATGAAGCCTTTTATAAAGAAAATAAACCTTATATATAAAAGGGAAAATAACACATATACAAATAACACAGACACATTTATCTGCAGCATAAGCCAGGAATGGCTTAAAAGTGAAACAGGGGGGCTGCCCAGATGGCGTAGTGGTTAAGTTCATGCACTCAGCTTAGGCAGCCTGGGGTTCGCAGGTTCAGATCCCAGGTGTGGACCTACGTATCAATCATCAAGCCATGCTGAGGTGGTGTCCTACATACAGAATAGAGGAAGACTGGCACAGATGTTAGCTCAGTGACAATCTTCCTCAAGCAAAAAGAGGAAGATAGGCAACAGATGTTAATTCAAGGCCAGTCTTCCTCACCAAAAAAAAAAAAAAGAAAGAAAGAAACAGATCCCTGAAGCCTAATATTCAGAGACCAAAAATACCAATGCTGTACAGCCAATCGTCAAATAAAGCCTCATCACTGCTTAAATTCAACAAACACTTTTTGACAGTCTACTTAGTGGAGGGAAGAGTTCCCTTGTCTCTGCCTTTCCACTCACCTCCCCACAAAGCATAAGGAACTACAAACGTCCAGAGTGGAGGACATTTATTGTGCCATGTTCTCCCACCAGGCAGAGCACGCTTCCAGCTCAGGAAGGGCCTCCCTGGTTAAAGTTCCTGCTCTCCTCGCTTGCACTCCGCATTCCAGTCCTCAGTCCTACACACACCAAGATAAGACCTGGCCCTTGGGCAGGGCAGGGCAGGCCCACACCCTGACTAAGGGTAGGAGGCAGGGGGCCTCACCTGGCCAAGAGACCAAGCCACAGGCCACAACCTGTGCTCAATCAGAGGCCTGAGCGAGACCATGAGGGTGGGGAAGTGGGGACTTGCACAGCTGCTGGCATCAAAATGATGCTTTACTTCCCATCCTGCTGCTATTCTTTGGACGGAGGGCTCCAACTGCCATTGCTCGCCATCCCCTAGGCCAGGAGCTGGAGGCGCAGGCCAGGCAGTGCCTGACCTCAAGCAGCTTAGAAGACACAATAGGTTCTTTCTTTGTTTAATGGCAAATGACATAGACTCTGATTATTGTTTCCAGGAAAGAACATTTCTAATGGCAAAAAAAAACAAAACCCGAACAGGAAAGCTGGAAACCAGAGTGGTAAGGAGGAACTAAAATCACCAAGCGATCTGGTCCTTAACCACCATGTGGTGACAAAGACAAGGATTCAGACTCTCGGAAGATGGGAAGTTAAAAGCGAACCCCCTCCAGAGAGCTGGGACTCTCAATCAGAGGATGGGCTGGGGCAAGAATCGTGAACTTTTTCTGTAATAGGCCAGAGAGTAAGTGAGATAGGCTTTGAAGACCATGAGGTTTCTGTCACAACTACTCAACTTTACCATGCATGAAAGCCACCATGGACGATACGTAAACAAGGAAGTTTCAGTAAAACTTTATTTACAAACCAGGTGAAGTGTCAAATTTGGCCAGGGAGCCACAGTTTGCTGACCTCTGGGCTCAGTGAAAAACCCCTTTTCTCTAACAAAGAGAAAGCATGAGAAAACTTTCTGCCTTGGTCTGGGCTCTGGCTTGTGGGGAGAGGAAGTCACCCCTGAGATTTCATAACCACAGGCCAGCTGTCAGACACGGACAGGGCATGCATTCAGACTAGCCACAAGACCCTGGAAACTTACGTCTAGAAATGAACATAAAGTGGCCCAAAGTATGTGACGCCCCGGGTGCCTGGCAGAAACAAGGCCAAATTCTCTCACAGTCGAGCCAGACTGCACAAGCCCCACACAGATACACAAAAGCTGAGCTTACAATTCAGATTTTGAAGAAACAAGAAATAAGAAAAATAGCAATGGTATAATCAGACCTGCCAGGATTTTCAGGGAATGAAATTATCAGACCCAGAAGAGTATGTTTAAAATACTTAAAAGAAGGAATACAAAACATGAGCAAAGAACAATAAACTATCAAAAAAGAATAGCAAATTTGGAGGGAAAACAGGACTTTTCCAAAAAAGAAAGAGAAAAATAGATGTGAAGAAATTGTTCAGAATGCAACAGAGACTACAAGATAAAAAATATGTATGAAAGGATGAGTAACTGAGAGCCCTGGCTGACATGAATGAGAGCCAGCAAACAGCTACTCAGAGGGTAGAAGGAGTAAATAGAGAGACTAGGAAAAAGGCAATTTTCAAAAAGACAATGGCTGAGAATTCTCCCAAATTGATCAAAACTAGGCATCCAAGAATTTGAAAAAAAAATCTCAAGCAATACGTTTTTTAAAAAACATCTGGGGCCGGCCCGGTGGCACAGAAGTTAGGTTCGCACGTTCCACTTCAGCGGCCAGCGGTTCGCAGGTTCAGATCCTGGGTGCAAACATGGCACCAGCTGGCAAGCCATGGTATGGCAGGCATCCTACATATAAAGTAGAAGAAGATGGGCACAGATGTTAGCTCAGGGCCAGTCTTCCTCAGTTAAAAGAGAAGGATGGGCAGCAGTTTTAACGCTCAGGGCTAATCTTCCTCAAAAAAACACAAAAATAAAAAAAACAAATCCATACTTAAGAGACACCGGGAGAAACTCCAGAACATTGAAGACAAAGAGAAGACAGAGGGAAAAGACAGATTATCCACTGAGGATTGGTCTGACTGCAGTAGGTTCAACTCCACCAGAAATCAGAAGACACTGGAACAAATCTTCAAAAAGATTAGAGAAAACAAGTATTCATCTGGAGTTATCCAAGAAAGAAAGTGAGATAAAGAAATTTTCAAACAAACAGCTTCCCACCTGGAAGTTCCGCCCCTTAAAGAGGCACTTCCGAAGGATGTTATTTCAGGAAGGGCAACGAACTCAGAAGGACTGAGATGCAAGCAGGAGTGTGAGGGATTCATCTTAACCTCAGATGAAAGCTGGAAGTGACAAGGCCCACTGAAAAGCTAAAACGCCTGCAGAGGGCTACACTGGCAGACAGAGGAATCCCAACAGAGAGCCTGCAGGGTGAGAGGGGGAGCAAAAGGGCTCTACAAACGCAGCAGGCATCCGCAACTGCCGAAGAAGCACCTTCTCCTCAGGAATATGACCAATAAGAACTGCATCCTGAGTGAATTCCGTGCAACCTCAGCAGTAATGCAGCAGGAGAGACAGCGCATCCTCTGAAGTGTTATGGAGGACTGGAACAGTGTGGCCCAGGAACACACTTGATCGGACCACTACAAAGAACATCTCCTATGGCTACCAAAGAAAGAGTTCCTCCAATTCCTTGTGAGGAAGACTCGAAAGTTATTATCAAAAGCCCCACTCAGTATCATTTGTTCCTAATTACACGTATGATAGTACTCTTGTTAATCATAAAGTAATAGAAGCTAGTTCTCAAAACAAACCAGTAGAACATGCGCATTACATGGGTAATGAGAGAGAAAATGCCACTTGTGAATCATCTATGGCATATCCCCAAATTGGAGCATCCCCACTCAGCTCCTGGATGAGGCTAGCCAGGGAAGTAAGGAGGCACCTCCCCACACAGCTTTGCCAGCCAGCCGCAGGCAGGAGAATGGAGTAATGCCTTGCCCCCCACGATGGGTCCTGGTGGAAGTGAGAAGAGCAGGCATGACTGAGCAGAAACATGGACACAAAATCAGGAAACGATGAGAGAATTAGCACTATTGACCCCATGATTGTTCTCCCTCAATCAAATTCACATGGCCATCTGCATGCAAAGACACACAGCCAACTTCTCAGTAAGTCCTTCCACTTGAAAAGAAAAATGCATTTTAGTCCAAACTCTCCTTCGTAAGAACATAAGAAAATCGAGAACTGAGAGACGGTGGTGTCAAGAGATTAAATAATTCTCACATCTGCAAAAATGACATGAAGGTAAAGAATGCAGGGAGACTAGCGCATTTAAATTTTAAAACCCTTAGGAAACAGTCTTCCCCAGACGTACTTCAGCAAAATGAATGAGCAAATGTAGGTAAGACCACATGCATAAGAATGTTTCCTAGGAAGTACATCTCAATGACTTTATGAAATGGATATACCAATTTAACCACATTTTCAATATAAACAGTAAGAACTCCATAAATAAAACAATTCTGAACATACCTGATGACCCTCTTTCATGTATAAGTAATTCTTTCTCCTTTTCTATTTCATCCGCGTCACGATACATGTCCTCCTCGCTGAAATCACACCAAATTAGACATTTCAAAAATTTGTTGCACTGACATTTTCCCTCCTATCACAATATGCAGCTGCTTAAAAAATTTACAGGACACTAAAAGTTTGATTTTTTTCATATTGCATGATGAAAATCTGATAAAATATGGGTCTTATATCTTAGATGCTCACTTTCTATCATTCCACTTCAGAGTTTCTTACTTTAAATGAGACATTTTACATACTCCACTTGCTACATGGCACGAAGCCATTTCAGTTTTAACATCTATTAATGCCTCAACTACATATGTAAGCATCTTAGTATGGTATCAGTGAAGCCCTGACATGATTCTAGCAAGTCCCAAGAATAGACATAGTGCTAATAAAAGTATTTATACGGGAGCACAGGTCAACTACCAACTTTAGTTTGTTGCAAGCAAATTTTTACATCAGCTACCCTAAAAACAAGGATAGGAGAGCATTAATTATTTTAAGTCTTCAAAGCTAACAAGTCTCCTCGAGGCTCCTCCCGCTCCCTGACCCCGTATTCCAGCAGCCACTCATGTTCTGGTGAGCACATCCCCACTGACCCACATACTTCAACTGCTGCCACAACCACTGACATGGTACTTCTATAATAGTTCTAAAGAGTCTCCAGTCTCATTTAGTGAACTAACAAGAGCCTACTAAGTACTAGAAAAGGAGCAAACATCACTGGATGCTAGACAAGGATAGAGAACAGGACTTCTGGTTTTAAGATACCTCAAGATACACCGCAACATGACAATGATGGGAAACAGAAATGCCAACTCTATCTTCGCTGAAACTACAAGACATAGGAAAGCCCAAACAGTCCAAAAGTAAACAATGGAGGACAGGAAAGCCGGTGGGGGGCATCTGCCGGAAGGGAAGCCAGCACAACCCCAGAAAGGCTTGGGAACTGGAGGTGCCTACTACCTCAGAGGGTACAGGAGTTACCCAGAGCTGAAAACGAGAAAACTGGCTGACGTACACATAAGGAGTAATCAGACTCTCAATTCCCTATACTCCCTCCCTCCCCATGACAGCACACCCCCACCTCACACAAGAAGGGAGGCTCCAGGCACAACAGAACACAGAACGGAGGAGTTAATAAGGTCAGTAAAAAAATACGGAATTAAGTGAATGACTGAGATACTCCCATTCCCAATTCCCTTAGCACCCCCACTCCAAGTACATGGCCTAGCACAGCCGGGGGAAAAGAGGAATCGGGGAGAGGGCTAGTGAGATAGATGAAGAAGGGATGTGCTGAGACACAAACCGAGGTGGGAATCTAACATACCCACCTGCCCTACCCCATTGAATGGATCCCAAAATAGCAGGGAAGTCCAATCTGGACCTAGCCCACCACTCTAGCCCACATCCCACAATCTCCCTACACACACCCACACCAGTCCAAACACTTGATCAACACTAGCCTGCACTTTTACCCCTGTGACTGGCTTTCCCTACTCCCTCTGCCTGAATGGCTCACTGCCCAAGACACCCTGCTATAGAGGGCCATGGCTGGCGTGGAACCCCGGAGTTCAAATGTCAGGGTGTAACCACTCCCCACCCCAGCCTTATTTGCTGTACATATGACCATGGAACTAAAGTAACTACACCTCTCAGTGCCTAAATTTAACCACCTGTAAAAAGGACAGTAAGAGTACTCACCTCAAAAGATTCTTGTGAAAACAGATGCACGTTAACACCTGGCACTCAAAAAAGTTAGCTATTCTTATTAATTCTCATACTATATCCATTGGTGCAGACTATTAATAAACAATTCGCCCGATGATAATTTTTTCTTCCTTTTTTTTTCCCTAAATAAAGGTGACAGTGTGTGGGTGCCTATTTTTTGAATGCTGTGGAGTTGAGGGGACATATTAGGGAAAAGGTACTTTCCATGTGCTCTGCTCCAGTGAGATTTCAAGTAAAAGGTGTGATGTCACCCACGAAGCCTGGGCCAGAGTTAAAAGCAAACAGCAACCAGACTCGCAGGAACAACACATCAAACACCTAAAATAAAAAGTGACTAAATGTGTTAGTTCTTCTTTCACTAATTTAATGATATCTCTTGGCCTCATTCCTGACTTTATCAAACAGGAGAGAAACTCAGATCCTATAGAACAGGCATGTAAGTGAATCAGTTTCATAACAGCTTATCAGAAGCACTTCTTCAGGCCGCCCGCTTCCCTAGTCTTAGCCTATTTTCTCATCCTCAACATGAAAAGACTGGACAACATCTATAGGATCGTCCTGGCTCCTCTACCAGTTCTTAGTTCGAACAGACTATGAATCTGTTTGTCGTTAAAAATTCGACTTCACGTGCATTCTGTGGCTATGCTGCATGCACATTTGGCTCCACTTTCGTCCTCTTCCTTTTTTATCTACAAAATAACCAAAGTGCAACCACACCACCAGTGCCCAGACAAGGTTTCCTCAATGAGCATCTCTCAGTCCAGCTGCAAATACAAATTCTCACAGAGGCCGGCAGGAGAGGAATGGAAAGAAATCAACAGCAGAACTAAACTCAAAGGGAAGACAGAAACAGAAAGTGAGAATATTGGAAATAAAAAGCAGTGATTCAAAATACATCAAAGAAACAAAGCAGAAATCGATGACTGGGGGGCCCAGAGCACATTCAAATTCTTTTAGCCGCAACCCAGTTTCATTCGGGTCCTGTGCACAAACGTTCACTAACTTCCATGGCTACCAAGGACACGTAACCAAAGACATTTGCTAACTTTCCAAGGCCACCAAGGAAACTCTATTATGGTCTTTAAACATCACCTTAAAAATGATCCTAACGCTGTATTTCCTTGGAAAGAGGATAAGTTTCAAGTTTAAGCAATAAAGCTCAATCAATATGGTCAGAAAAGCAGATATTTAACAGCCAAAATGAAATATTCGTCTGACATAAGGACAATCAACTGAAAAGAGAAAGAGATGTGTGAAAGCAAGAAAAATAAAAATAATTTTATTCAAGAAAATACTTCACTCAATAGACTCTTGCTTGAACTTTTTAAAGTATCAAAATATTAAAGCTGAAACTAACAACAAAATAAAATTATATTTAAAGTTGGGAATCTGAAATAGCTAAAGGTTTCAATTTTTGTTACGGGAAGACAAGATAATGAAAGGAAAAGGGACATAATATGATAAGATAAAATCATCGATGCTGAACTGTTCCAGAAATTTAGCAATCTTTTGTGTGTGTCAAGGTGGAGTGAGAGCGGGAGTACCCACCATTTGGCACAAAAGAGGCCACTGAAGCCCAAACACTCAAATGATCACCACAGCAAAAAGCTTCCCTCTAGAAAACATACAGATAACTAGAAAAGTAGTAAAGAAAAGTAAGACAAAGTCTTAAATGTGACTCGATTTCTTGGGGACCATGGTACATGAGTCACAGTCAATTACAAAGTAGAGTTAAATTTTAAAACCAAAATGCCAATAATTCCTACTTAGAAAATTCTTAGTTTAGCACCATAATATTATTTTCAAGTTCCTACTGTCTACTAAGCTAGGAATGATGCATTTTATTCTTAATATTAAGGCAATATACATCACTAAGTTACATGATATTGCATACTAAATTATAACTTTCCTCTTGTTCTGTTCAAAGACCTGCATACCAATACATTTTTGAAAGCCTAATTAAAAAACGCTTACTACATATAGACAAAATTGTACTATTCCCAAGAACAAAAGCTATGAGCTAAAAATACAGACCTCAGTGAAGCAGAAGACATTTCTGTGAAGCCAATTTTTCAATTTATGATACAAGTAAACATGAAATATAAAATAAGTCAATGCTGACGTATATGCAGTTAACTAGACAGCATTTTAATCACTCACCATTATGAACCTTTGCACCAAGTTCTTCTCAGTTGTCTAAAAAAGCTACACTGACTATGACTTTGTCTAGCTCTCTGGACATGAACGCTGCAGCTCGTGCTTCACTTGCCCTGTTCTAGAAGACTAATGGCCCAGGCAGTGTTGGTGAGACAGTGTTAACCACTGTGACACCAAGGCACCTTCCCACACAGGCACAGGAAAAGCAAAGACCACTCAACCCAGTCTTTCTCCACCCCTGAGCAGTTGCAGAGATGGGTGAACAACACATCAAATGCGGGAAAGTACCGGCACCCAGGCCAAAATTCCGCCTCCCTTCTGCAAGTGGACTTTCCGTGACTGGCTCATGCTACTCCACGTGACTTCCAGAGGTATCTGGGGACAATCCAGACCCCCTCGACAGTGAGGTTTGATTCTCAGACATCCCAGCTCTGGACGTGAAGCAGGCTCTATATCCAGGTGGGGGAAGCAGCAGGAGGGAGTGGCTGTTACCCCACCAAACATCCCCCCCAGGAGCTGCTAAGGTAGGAGGTGGGTGGGAAAACACATTCACTCAATAGTATATTGAGCACATCCAAGAACAATGGCTTAACAATCTGTTGTTGTTCAAAGCCCTTTTGAGAACCCACAGCTTTCATCAGAACCTCAATCCAGAAAAACACAAATATACATAATATTTTGCCTTCAGTTTCAAAGGGGTTCACAGACATATGATCCATCCAACAGAGCCTATGGATCCCACACTGAAACCCTATCCCACCATAAGGCAGACAGGGAAGGGCCAGGGAGTAGTCTCACTTCTCAACTCCCTAAGCAGAAACCGTGTCCCAGGACCATCTTGGTCCTCAAGAACTGCAGCGCAGATTAGCTTAGCTAAGGGCAAGAGTGGACACAGCATACGTTTCAAAAGCAGGGGCAGGGTGAGCAAGGGATAGAGCAGAGGAGACCTGCTGATAGGAGCAGGGACAAAGTTTTAAAAACAGTCACTAAATCTGGTCTGACCTAAGACTTCTTCAAACGGGTCCTAAGTCATCTTGTGAGCCATCCCTAGGGCCTGTCCAGGGGATGCCAGCCAACCACAGCTCTCAGATGAGCTAAAGGAAGGATGAGCTGGGGGTGGGGGGGAGGACGAGAGGGAGAGAAGGAGGGAGGGAGGAAAGGAGGGAGAAAGGAAGGGAGGAAAGAGATGAGGGAAGAAGGAGATTTAGAAAGCAGCTTATACATGTGGTTTTTGTCTTTCTTCCCCACTATTTCTCTCCCTTGAGAAATGCAGCGAGCTCAGTCAAAAGGAATGAGTATCCTACAGTACTGCCTAGGAAATGAGCCATCCCTTCCCCTATTCACTGCACCCTCCAAAGACTCACATCCCCGATGTATAACGGCTGCAAAAGTTGCGCTATGATGTGCATTCATAATTACTGTCCAGGCAAAGTATTAAAAATGACTCTGCAGGATATCTCAAAATATCTGCAGTTTTATAGTGTTTCGTATTTCCAGGTGCAAATATTTTACTCAATTCCTCTGCAGGACAAACCCAATTCTTTGGGTGGGAAGAAGGGACTTGGCTCCAATGACAGAAAAACACAGGACTTAAAAACTATTAGGTCCTAATTCAGACATTACACTATTTAAATCTACACCCAACTATGAGGCTGCATATATCACCACGTAAGAACTGATGTGCACATATTATATTGCAAACCATATAATAAGCAATGTTTATATGATGCAGTACATCTCTCTAACCCTTAAGGAAACATCACAGAGCAAAGAGAAATAGCCCTACTGCCCACATGATAGGCAAGAAAGCCCCAAACATAAGATGTGATGTTCAGAAGGTGACATCTCAAGTTAAGTGACCTCCCTTCCCTCACCCCTCCTTGTTCTCTTACAAGAGTTAAAGGAGAATGAAATCATCAAAGACAACAAAAACAGGAAGAAAAAGAAATTAAGCTGCTTAATAAACCGCAAACTGGAACATCTATTCCAGAAAAAAAAAATCTGAAGTTTGCCATCATTATAAATCACATCCCTCTGGCTGGGTTTGCTGAGGCAGCGAGAAAGAGATGGCGGAAGTTCTGACCCAGGCAGGGAACCTGGCCTGAAACCTACTCCCTGTGCCTCCCTGACCAAGCTGCACCTATGAATCTGCAACTCAGTTCCCTAATGTATATAATGACAAACCCAGGCTGGTTTTAGATTCCTTTCAACTCTAAGTCTGTAATTCTACTGACAGTAGAGAGAAGACGTACCCATGCCACGAGACCTTTTCATCAGGAAAGAGTGCTCCTTCTACACCATGACCCACTTCGCCAGGTGCTCAGACTCTGGGAACCACATCCAGCAGAAAAACTTGCCAACTAACTATGGGTACTTTGGGGAACATGGCTCTGGCTTCAAAGTTTCTGCATCTCCCAGGGGGCATGAAACTGCTCATGCCGAGGCTGAGGAGCAGCATCTGAGGGCCAGGCCCACTAGGCAGGACCACAGCTCTGACCACCAGGGCCCGAGAGAGGTAGCAGCAGACAAGCTGGCAGCAGCAGTTAGGAACCAGCATGGGCTGTGGAGGGGCAGAGGCAAAAGACCCCACTGCCGAGACTGAGATCGGTCTTGAACCTAAGGAGCAAAATTGCAGCCACTGGTCACATCAGCTCACATGTGGGCCTGCACAGTGGTTTCAAGTAAAGAATAAAATAGGGGCCAGCTGGGTGGCCAAGTGGTTAAAGTTCTGCGTGCTCTGCTTCAGCGGCCCAGGTTTCCAGATTCGGATCCGGGTACAGACCTATTCCACTCATCAGCCACGCTGTGGAGGCATCCCACATACAAAATAGAAGACGACTGGTACAGATGTTAGCTAAGGGCTAATGTTACTCAAGCGAAAAAAAAACAGTAGGATTGGCAAAAGATGTTAGCTCAGAGTGAATCTTCTCACCAAAAAAATAAATTAAATAAAATGCTACTATTTAAAAATCAGGACATTTCATACAAAAGTCAGGATATCTGGATTGCTTAAATACAGAAAATCCAGCATCTATAGGTTGGAACTTAGCTAGACCCTGCCCCCAAGAGAGAAGTACCCACTCTCCAGGAACTCAGGGTTTACTTCCGGTCAGCTTCACTCACCTAGATTACCTGACTCACTCCCGGGGGCAGCAGTGTCAGACTTCCTACTCCAAATTTTCCCCAGCAGCCTTTAACCCAATAACTCAATAACTCAATAAATGAGAATGTCAAAGCCCACGGTAAAGAACTATGCAAATGATAGTTATTAAAATACTACACTATTTGCATAACAGGCCAGTCAAGGACCCCTTTTTAGGAAACGCAAAAAAAAAAAAAAAAAAAGGTGCATTTCAACACTCTTTAAAATTCAGCTTTCGGGCCAAATAAGCTATCTGTCAAACTTAGTTATCTGAGTGTTTTCCTCAATTTCGGAATTCCAAAGGCAATTATATGTGACTAGAACTTGAAAGTGTAGAAGAGTTTCAGCCCTCAAGTTTTTATCCTGCTTCCACCTCTACCCCCAGACCCTTGCAGAAACTAGAAACGCTTCCGATTTATGCCCTTTCTTTACAGTTTGGTAAGAAACTGATCTAACCAGTTAGATCTAACTGATCTAACTGGCTTTCTTACTTAAAAATAAACGGGGGTGGGGATATCTAGCTAAGCCGTTAAAGGGCAAAAGAGAACGGGGTCGGACTCCGTCCAAAGTCTGTCCAACAAGTGGGACGCTCATCAAGCGGCGACTTGCCCTCCAAGAACAAACATGTCGCGTGGCTCAGTTTTCCTGCGGCTGTGACAGGGACAACCTTATTTCCTCCCGCACCAGCTTGGAGAAAAGATCTACCAGGAGTGAATTATAAAACAACACGCCTTTCGAGTTTGTTTCTCAAGTTTCGGCAGCTTTAACTTCAGAGCTATGGAGATGTCAAAAGTTGGGGGTGGGGGGACACTGGGCGACCCGAATTGTAAGAGGGGCCCCCCGGAAAAACAGCTGTACTCGGACACTGGATACAAGAGTCTCCAAATTCCTCCCGGCCGCCGAAGACCTTCCTGAGAACCGAGGGTGCCGGGCCCTCGGCGGCTACTGCCCAGCCCACCCCACCCCCAGCCCGCCCGCGGGGACCGAGCGCAGCGCCCCCGCCCGCCCCCGCCGCGCCAGGCCCGCGCCCCGCGACTCACTGCTCTGCCGGGCACCGCATCGCGGCCCGCGGCTGCCCGGCGGCCGCCGCCTTCCCGCCCTCCCGCGCCGCGGCTCTTGCGGGGCCCGGAGACGCCGCCCCTGCCTCCCGCGCCGGCTTCTCAGCGCAGCTCGCGCCCGGCCACGCGACGGGCTGCGGCATGGTCCCCCGCCGCAGAGGTTCAGCCGCCTCTGGGGGACCCGGGGCCCCTCCAGTCGGGGCGCCCGGCTGTGGCCGCCGCCGCCGCTCTGCTGCCAGCCGGCTTCCGAGGGTACCCAGAGCGCTTCCGCGCGCGTCACCGCCGCCCGCCTCGCGGCCTCTGACCCGCGGCGAGGGGGCAGGGCCCGGGAGGGCGGGGAGTCCGCGGCCCCTCCGCCTGCGCCTGCGCGGACTGAGCCGCCGGCCAGGGGAGCGGACAGCGCGGCGCAGCCACTGCGCATGCTCTGCTTCCACGTGCCGCCGGCACGCTCTTCCCTCTACAGAAGTCTCCGGCAGGCTGGGTGGGTAGAAGGAGGGGAAACCCTGAAGGAGCGGTGGTACGCGTCCTCGGAGAGCGGGAGCGGGAAGGCCCGCCTGGGCTGTGAAGGGCACCAACGTGTCTGGGCGCCTGGCAGTGTCTCTCTAGGCTTGCGAGCGTCGCCCTCCACTCCACCCCGCAGGGGTTTCCTCGAGCTTCACTCCAGGGATGTGGGCAGGCTGAGTGGTGTGCGGTTTGCCTGGCTTTCCCCGAGGGGCAGTTCCGTCACCACCCGCCCCTCCGCGCCCCCCGCCCCCAAGCCCGGGGGCTCTGACCTTCCGTGTGGGCTCAGGCTTGTGGCTCCAGGGTTGGGAGTTACGGTCCCTCCCCTCCGGCAGGGTGAGAAGGGCCAACTGCTTCTACTCGACAGCGGCAGTGTGTGTTCTTGGACTGTCTTCTTTCAAATAGGAAATTTGATGTGAGAGGAACAAGAGCAAAGGCAAAATATTAACATACTTCAAAGATCAGAAGGCAACATGTTTCCTCTCTGGGGAGAGAATAAAAGAGTAGATCTAAAGATGAGCAGCAGTCATGGGTGCAAGGGCCTTTACTCAAGCAAAGCTTGCAGGACCAAGGTATGGAGGAAGGGAATGACATCGACCGTTGAGAGACCTGCAAGTAGTTCAGGGGCAGAACAGGAAGGTAGCAGGGGATTTTACTGAAAGATGAAACTGGAAGAAGGATGCTGGAGACCAGATCATGAAAAGCCACCTTTGGCTAACTAGGGAGCTTGTGCTTGATGCTCATTGAACGATTGGAAGGAGAAGATTATTCTGAAAGATCACCTTGTCCGTAGTTAGAAGATAGGAAAAGGACAAGAGTCCAAAGGAGACCAGCATAGGGAGACTAAATAGTAATGGGCATCAAAGGGAGAAACTGGATGGAAGGAATATTTGCATTTTAAGGCAAGGAACTATGGGGAGTTTTTTTCCATTTAATTTTATTTGAAAAAGTAGTAAATACACATGCTAAAAAAAATTCAGATCATACAAAAGAATATACAAGTTATACTTCTGATGGATATTAAGCATGTGGGATTATAGTGGGTCCCCCCAAAATTCATGTCCACCTGGAACTTCAGCGTGACCTTATTTGGAAATAAGTTCTTTGCAGAGGTAATCATTTAAGATGAGCTCATGCTGGATTACAGTGGGCCATAAATCTCATGACTGGTGTCCTTATAAGAGGAGAGGATGCAGAGACATATAGACACAAGTGAACTAAGGGCATGTGAAGATGGAGGCAGAGATTGGAGTGGTCTAACTATAAGCCAAGAAATACCAGGAGCCACTGGTAGCTAGGAAAAGACAAGGAAAGATTATTCCAAAGAGCTCTCAGAAGAAGCATGGCCATTCTGACAAATTAATTTCAGATATCTAACCTCCAGAACCGAGAGAATAAAATTCTCATTAAGCAGATATTCTAGATACAACATTTTACCTCAAGGGGTTGGGAAAAGCTTAATAGTTTGTTTCATTAGTTGGTGGGTATGTCTTTTCCTGTTACGCATGTGGAATTGGGAAAACAACCATAGGATCGGTTTGGGGACTCAATGGGCCCACTGTGAGAAGAACCTGAGCAAAAGCTCCAGTGATCACTTGACTTCCTTCCACCCAAAAGTCCCTACACTAAATGAAGTCCCAAAACTGCCTAGGATACTGTAGAGGAAGGTATCCAAAGACTTGGGGAGATTGGAATGTTAGCATGGATCTATCACATAAGACCTATTCACCCACCCCAGGAGGGTCCAGAGGACATAAATGTTGGAAATAAATTTGTGGGGGAGCCCTAGCATCCTTGAAGAGCTCTACAATTGCTTTTCTCTGTAGTCAGATGTATTTTACAATGGAAACTTTTCCCATCAAATAGACTCCTAAATGCAACTGGGATAATGGGATCTCAGGGGGGTAGGGACCAAAGGGTGGCACTTAATTACCAAAAGTTAGGTGGATGTGGTTACTGTAATGCACGGCTGAGCCAGAGCAGTAATCAGAATTGTCTGACTCGGAGAGACCTATGGAATTGGCTAGTTGATCATGGTCTCCTTAGAGAAGAAATAAATGGACAGTCTACTAAATTATTACTTGGTCTGCATAAGCAGAAGAGTTCTAGGTCTATGACTCAAGCCCTAACTTGCATCACCAAAATGGAAAGTCACAGCCCCTCAATCGATTCCGATTTGAGCCAGTTTACACATTTAGAACTATGTATGAAAAGGAGGTCAGGTCTTCTCAAGGAAAGACCCTGCTACATTGCCAAAAGTGTATATTGTTAATCTTTATCCCAGCCTTCCCCAAAGGGTCCTCTTGCCATCTACCAGAGTGACTGTGCACTCGGGGAAAGGAAATAACCAGACTTTGGGGAAATTAGTAGACAATGGCAGTGACCCGACATTAATTCGTGGAAACCCAAAACATCATTGTGTTTACCTATCAGAGTAGGGGCTTGTGGAGGTCAAGTGATGAATGGAATTTTAGCTCAGGTTGATCTCACATTACGCCCAGTGGGTCTCCAAACACATCCTGTGGTTATTTCCCCAGTTCTAGAATGCATAATTAAGGTAGACATGCTCAGCAACTAGAAGAATCCCCACATTGGTCCCCTGACCTATAGAGAGAAGGCTGTTATAGTAGGAAAGGCCAAGTGGAAACCACTAGAACTGTTTCCACCTATAAAAATGTAAACCAAGAGCAGCATCGTATTCTTGGAGGGATTGCAAAGATTAGCACCAAAGATTAGCATCACGTACTTGAAAGTTGTAGAGGTTGTGATACCCACCACATCCTTTTTCAACTCACCTATCTGGCATGTGCAGAAGACAGATGGATCTTGGAGAATGACAGTGGATTTTCATAAACCTGATAATGTGGTGATTGCAGTTGCACTGCTGTTCCAGATGTGGTTTCATTGCTTGAGCAAACCACACGTTTCCTAGTATCTGGTCTGCAGCTATTGATCTGGCAAATGCTTTTTACCTCTATACCTGTTGAAAAAGACCACCAGAAAGAGTTTAATTCAACTGGCAAGACCAGCCATACACCTTCACTGTTTTATCACAGGGATATATCAGCTCTTCAGCCCTATGTCATGATTTAGTCACCTAGCCTTCTCCCTCCGCCTTCCCCAGAACATCATGCTGGTCTATCACATTGATGATTTGCTGATTGGTCCTGGTAGGCAGGAAGTAGCAATTACTGTACAGGTATTGGTAAGATATTTGTGTGTCAGAGGATGGGAAATATATCCCCCAAAATTCAAAGACCTTCTACCCCAGCAAAATTCCTAGGGGTCGAGTGGTGTGGGATATATCAAGATATCACTTCGAAGTTAAAGGGTAAGTTGTTACATCTGGCCCCTCTTACCACCAAAAAAAGAGGCACAACCCCTAGGGAGAGAAGAGAAGAGAAGGCTCTACAACAGATCCAGGCTGCTGTGCAAGTTGATCTGCCACTTGGTCCCTATGATCCAGCAGATCCAAGGGTGCTTGAAGTGTCAGTGGCAGATAGTGATGTTATTTGAAGTCTTTGGCAAGCACCCATAAGTGAATCACAAGGCAAACCCTTAGGATTTTGGCATAAAGCCCTGCCATCCTCTGTGAATAACTACTCTCCTTTTGAGAAACAGCATTTAGCTTGCTACTAGCCCTTAGCAGAGACTGAACGCTTACCAATAGGCCACCAAGTTAACGTGTGACCTGAGCCCAGTGATAGATCATGTGGCTAGGTTGTAAACTTGATACGATGCAAACACCGCTGCACTTCTGTGATCTTCCAAAAGCCCATAACCCCAATATAATTATGAGAAAAACATCAGACAAATTATAAATTCCATTAGAGGAGCATCCTACAAAATCCTTGGCTAGTGCTCTTCAAAACTGTCAAGGTCATCAAAACAAGAAAAGTCTGAGAAACCATCACAGTCAAGAGGAGCTTAAGGAGCCATGACAACACTATGATGTCCTGGATGGGATCCTGGAAGCGAAAAAGACATTATGTTAAAGGAAGTCTGCATAAACCATGGACTTTAGTTAATAATAATGTATTAATATTGGTTCATTAATTGTAATAAATGTACCATACTAATGTAAGATGTAAGCAGGAGGGGAAATTGGATGCAAGGTTTACAGGAACTCTGTACTACCTTCTCCATTTTTCTGTAAATCTAAAACTATTGAAAAAATAAAATCGATTTTATTAGAAGAAAATCAAACTCAAGTCACCATATCACAAAGAGTTAAAACAAGACTTTTCAAAATGATGTGGATATCTAGTCACATTGTACTTTAGTAGAAAATTTTTAATTTAAATGTTTATTTCATCTTTAATCTTTTTAAAATTTCTGTTGTGTATATGTTTTATAGTATATGTAGTACATAAAAAACAGAGATACATATGTGCATTTTTATTATATATGTGTATATTGGGGATGTGATAAATTTTTTAATTGATATTATAAAACTAAATTATTAGAGAGCATGTGTGTTAAACTAAATAAGTCAAAAACTAAATTAGAGTTTCTCAGAGGGAGTTGTGAGAAGTAAGCCCATGTACTGTGATATGATTACAATAATTAGCCTATTCTTATGTGAGGATGAATAAAAAACAATCAAACAAATCTATAAGATTAGGCAAAAGCCTATATGATAATGTTGCTAGAGACAATTCCAGTTAGTTTCCAGCTTCCCCTTAGAATCAAACATTCCTAAATCAGATAACTAAAAGTTACGTGACGATATTGTAATTTGTATGTCTTAGTAACTTACATTTTGAATCACCTCAGATTAATGTAACTGCATCTTCAGTGGCCTTGCCTAGAAAAGTTAATGCATGAAAGACTCTGAGTTCCTTTCTTTGAACGCTCCAGCCCTTACTTGCTGTGACTGGTATGAAGAGCACTGCTGAGCCATGCAGTGTTTATTTTGTTTGTTTGTTTGTTTGCTTGACTGATTGATTTTTTGAATTCTCTTTAAGGAACTTAGTACAAGTTGAATGCGTAGCCCCCTTTTTAATACCATAAACCCATATTTCACAGCAAAGTCAAAACACCCTACATTTGTACTCTATGGAATTTCCCAATGTCACAGCAATAAAAAATAGATTTCAAGTGTATTCTGCACAGCAATTTCTAAAGTATTCACAGGAAAGGTACTTTTTAGTTTATTCTAGTTTCACAGGTTCATGTACTTACTCAAGCCTGGAAGGAAGTATTGCTAGTTTCACTTAGTAATTAACTACTCTAGGAATACCCAAGTGTTTATTTGAAAGACCCCTTTATCCAGCATGCCTCTTGACTGTGGAATGCTCATTATTTTTAAACAGGATGAGGTGGGGAGGAAACCTACTGTGTCTTTGCAGTTCTGAGACCAGAAGAAATAACTTTATAGAGAAAAAAATAGGGGAAATATTTAATTAGAAAAAATATCCTGCAATAATATTAGTTTACCTGGAAACCCCCAAAACTGTCCCCAAGAGTTTTTCTTGGGAGAAGTATGAGTCATAATGAAATTTATTTTATCACGAAAATGAAACTATTTCATACAGAAGAAGATAACAGAGAGTGATGTTATACAAAGACTTGGAATTCTGGAAAATATTAAACCAGTCACTTGCCTCCAGCTAAACAGAGTTTCATCCTAAAGAATTCATCCAGGCAGATGATAATCTTAATTTATTTGGAGAGCTTCTGAAATGGAATCCCATACCTTAGTACCCTAATATCTGCTGTGGACTAAATTGTATGCCCTCAAATTCATATGTTGAACCCCTAACCCCCAATGTTCCTATACTTGGTGATATGACTTGAATGTTTGTGTCCCTCTAAAGTTCATGTTGAAACTCTACTCCCCAAAAGGATGGTATTAGGAGATGGGGCCATTGGGAGGTACTTAAGAGCAGATGAGGTCAGGAGGGTAGAGCCCTCATGAATGAGACTAGTGCCCTTGTAAGTGTCACCAGAAAGTTTGCTACCCTTCTCTTCTCTCTGCCAGGTGAGGATACAAGGAGAAATCAGCAGCCTGCAAACCCAAAGAGAGCTCTCACCAGATCTCAACCTCACTAGCGCCCTGATCTAAGACTTCCAGCCTCCAGAACTGTAAGAAATAAATTTATGTTGTTTAAGCCACCCAGTCTGTGATATTTTGTCATGGCAGCCCAAGCAGACTAAGAGCATCAGAAAGTACTTACACTTACCTTTTAGGACAAGCATCTGGGTCCTTTGGAAAGGAAGCCCATCTTTCATACTGCACACTGGAACTTAGAGAGAGCTAGAGGGTGACATTGTAGAAGTTTCCTAAGAAAATAAAAGTAAGGAAGAGATTCTTTGTCTCTTCTTTGTCATAACATAGGAACCCTTCACCTCCTCAAGGAATCTGATATTAGGTTGATGATACTCATATAATCCCAGGTTCTCTCCATCATAGTCAGAGAGGAAGGCATCACCCTACTATTACCCAAAACTCTCTACTTGTGATAAGGTAGGTTGTCAACCTTACCTTAAAAAATCATACCAGGATATTGCTGACTAAGTAACAAGGGCTTTCTGGATCTTCTGCTAATATTTTGTCTCATTAATGTTTCTTTTTGCTTGGTCTAGAATTTTAGAAGGATAGTTGACTAGGTCTTCTTCAGAAGATAAGGATATATAATTTTATCCTCATTGCATCATTCTCAAGATCTTGGCATCCAGAATCCACTTAAAATAATGATCTTCAAACTGAGGTACCTCCATCTCTTGGGGTACACCAGAGCCATTTCATACAGTTGTGCAGCAGAGGTCCTGGGGTAAAAGACACCTTTCACAGCTGTATGGGGGCATGGATGGGTCTGTTCTCCTTTCCAACCACTGCCTTCATGTTCACCATATTCTTACACGTGGAAAACTCTCTCTCATCCATCCCAAATCCTACTACAGTGTGTGCCTCAGGATTGTGCTAAATACAGTAGCCACTAGTCACATGGGTATTGAGCACCTGAAACACAGCTGGTCAGAATTAAGATCTGCTGTACAAAACACAACAGGCTTTCAAGGACTTAATACCAAAAAAAACAAAATGAATGTAAAATGTCTCATTTTTAATTTTTCATATGGATTGAATGTTGAAATGATACTATTTTGGAAATATTGCATTGTATGTAATATTAATTTCACCTGTTTCTTTTTGGTTTTTTAATATGGTACTAGAAAATTTTAAATTGCGTATGTGGCTCACATTATATTTCTATCGGGTGGTGCTGTTCTAGAACATCGAAAAAAGGGAAGAATTTAAATATTGCTTTTGGAGAAGCCTCCAACATAAGGCACCAAAACTTTGCATTTAGGCTTTGTGTCCTTCCTTTTCTTCTCTTAGAGGGGGTATTTTGGTATTTAAATTATTTTGGCCAATATGTTAATTCATAAATTGTAGAGTGCGGTTATAAGAGTGATGATAGCCTCAATCAAAGAAAGCATTGCTCCTGAGGAAGGCTCCAGAGAACAAAGCAGAGTAGCAGGGAGAAATATTGGTTACATCTTATGTCATCCAGGTGACAAACTCTTGGCAAGGCTCTCTGCCTTACTTGGCACTCTATGTTAGAATGAGTGTTTGTGAGATGCTTGTCCTAGGGACTTTCCAGAAACGAGAAGTGATTGACTCTTATTGACTGGATAATCAACACTTTTGTAATTCAGTTAATTTCTAATTCTCCACTTTCAACAAATTTGAAGGAGAATCTAAATTTTTTACCTGATGATTTAAAATAATATTTAATGAGAGATTACTGTGACAATTTTTGGCACACAGTTCAGAAGTTGAAAGAATTGAATGATTTTGTTATAACAAAACTCCGTTTTCATTTGTTTATGGGAACAGTGTTTCTCAGTGTTTATATCTGTAAAACCCAAAAATAGGAATAGAATTGAGATTAAATCTTGTCCCTTTCTAGCAATAATATTCATCAATAGATTTTAAAAGAGATATATCCAGTAAGATTTTACTAAGTATGTGTAATAATTATCAAAATTTATAATATATTGTTTCAATCAAGTTCTTACTACTAATAATTATGACAATAAATGAAACTTTCAAATAATTTGAAATAATAAAAGATTTTCAAACATAAAAATATCCTGCATTAAATAAAATTCTGGGAATGGAGTGAAAATGAGATTTCAATGAGAAAAAGGAATGATGTAAAATTGCAGTCTTTTTTTATGAATGATAGTGAAGTTCTAATAAATATGTTATTTAGATTCTATTGGAAACTTGTCATGTGATGATTTTATTTTAAAATGTCAATATTTATTTATAATACATGGAAATCACATCCTTTAAAACTAAATTTCTTTTTTTAAAGATTGGCACCTGAGCTAACAATTGTTGCTAATCTTCCTTTTTTTTCTTTTCTGCTTTATCTCCCCAAATCCCCCCTGTACATAGTTGTATATCTTAGTTGCAGGTCCTTCTAGTTGTGGCATGTGGGACGCCGCCTCAACGTGGCCTGACGAGCGGTGCCACGTCCATGCCCAGGATCCGAACCAGCAAAACCCTAGGCTGCTGCGTCAGAGCGCACGAACTTAACCACTCGGCCACGGGGCCAGCCCTAAAACTAAATTTCTAATGGAAAATTTTAGATGTCACCTTTCAAATGTGGAAACAGTTTCACAGTTTTTCAAAACTCTTTTACGGGAGCAAGTGAGCAAAAATATTCAGATGACTGCCTTAGATGGCAACTAGTCAAAACCCCTTCCTTTTATAGCTGCGGCAGCTGAAGACCAGAAGTTCTGTTCTTGAACCTGAGCTGGAGCCACATTCAGCCCCTGGCTCTGCAACCCCATTCCATCTGCCATTTAGAGAAGGCACTTGGAGTTCTGTGAGCAAGTCCATGTTTATCAGTTATGAGGTACCTGTGAGTAAGAGACTGTCTCCCTGAAAGGTATTTGGGTTTAGAGCTGCTGTCTGGCATCTGTGGTAGCCTGTTACTGCCAGTCTCACCAACTGTCAGGATTCTTTGTAAAGCAATTGTTTAGAAATACGAGGTGTTCTTACATCTATCCCAGCAGGTTGTATTGTAACTATTGATTTCCCTAGCGAAGCTGAAAGCACATGTGGGAAGTAGCTATTCATTGTCTTAGTTAGCTTGGGCTGGGCTGCCAAACAAAATACCATGCAACAGAAATTTATTTTCTCACAATTCTGGGAACTGAAAGTCTGAGATCAGGGGCTGGCCCTGTGGCCTCGTGGTTGAGTTTGGTGCGCTCTCCTTCGGCAGCCTGGGTTTGGTTCCTGGGTGCAGACCTACACCACTCGTTGGTGCCCATGCTGTGGTAGCAACCCACATGCAAAATAGAGGAAGACGGGCACAGATGTTAGCTCAGGGTGAATCTTCCTCAAGCAAAAAGAGGAAGATTGGCAACGGCAGAGTGCCAGCAAGGTCAGTTTCTGGTGAGAGCTCTCTTCCTGGCTTGCAGGTAGCTGCCTTCTCATTGTGCACGCGGGTGGTGGAGAGAGGTGGGGATTGGGGGTAGGGGGCTAGGTCTGGTCTCTCTTCCTCTTCTTCTAAGGACACTAACCCTAATTGGATCAGGACCCTTCCCTATGACCTCATTTAACTTTAATTGCTTTCACAAAGGCCCTATCTCCAAATACCATCACATTAGGGATTAGGGCTTCAACATATGGATTTTAGTTGGACACAAACTGTAACATAACACTCATAAACCTTTATATGCCTTGTTCCTAACCCAATGAATGGTACTAATGATCATGAATAAATGTTTGTTGAATGATTTAATATTGATTCCTTATATCAGTTGTACTGTGCAGTATAGTACAGCAAAGAGAAAACCAGCTATATGACCTTGGGCAAGTCGTTTAACCTTTCTGAGCCTCAGTCTCTTCAGATGGAAAATCTAGATAGTAACTCTTATCTTATAGATATGTGATGAGGATTAGAAGGGAGGTGTGTCAAGAGACTAGAATAGTGCTTGAGAAATAATAGCCATATCTAATACCTTCACTTAACACTTTACAGTTTATGAAGCACCTTTGGAACACACTCTCCCAGGAGTCAAGACCTGGATGCCTCAGACACTTCTGGCACCAAGCCTAGAGATTTTTTTTTTAGCTTAGTGATTTTTTCGCTATAGCAGGTGATCCAAGACCTTACAGAAAGCGTTAATTTTAAGACACCCTTGGACTTCACTAGCTCATGATTTCTGATCTGTGGAATGAAGTAATTCACTGAATTGGTCTAGCCCGAGGGTAGTCAAGAGGCCAGGCTAAGAAATCCACCTGGTAGGGAGAGAAAAATATTAGATGGTTTAATAGATATTCTGTTGCAGAATTAGTCAGTTACTTGCAATTTCCTTAAATAAATTATTTTTCAGAACACTTATAGCCAAAGCTTAGTAGATAGGTGCAATCTTGGACACTAGGTGGCACCATAAGAGCCTCTCCTGGACCAGTTCTGGACAGCCCAGCAGCTCCTCCCTTCCATTTACAGCCTGAAGATTTTTAGCAGAGTCTGGGGCGAAGAAAACTTAGAGAAATGTTGTTCCTTTTCTGCATAGAATCTTTAAGTTTTCTTTCTAAGAGCTTGATCTCCTACTGTGAATAGTATGCAGAAGAACAAGGCTCTCATAGCAAACTACAGCCAGCATGAATCAAGTCAGGAGCCTTGATCTGAGTCCCAAGGCTGGCACTCAACAGCTGGTTTTCTTGGAAAAAGTCAATTTCCTGCCCTATATGCATGTCCTCGGATTGCTGGGAGGCCCCTACAAAGTAGCGTATGAGAAGTGCCATGAGCTACAATTGAAAACCAAGGTTCTTCCCACTTCTGCAGCCCTCCTCTTCCTGGGAGGCTCCTGCCTTGTGCCAGCTCTGCGCCTCTGCTACCCTGGCCCCTGCCTACTTGTTATCAACTCCAACATCCCTCTCAAACATTCTTAAAGGACTCTGATACCAGATCTGTTCATTTCAACATTCACTCAAACAACTGAAACTCAGTTCTTAGCATCCTCCACACCAATGGTGTTCAACTTCTCTGCAGCAACTCAGTCCCATGGCTGCACCCTAAACCCTGTCATCATCTGAAAGTAAACCCCCTTAAAATCGTCAACTCCACATCCCACTCTGTCAAAAGTCACCTCTCCTTTCCCCTCTCCACTTGCTCATCAATTTCAGTGTGACTTCTAGCTCCTTCCCTTCTTTCTTCTCTCCCTGTTGATCAGCCCCCACCTCTGCACACACAGCCCCTCTTTCT